TGTTTATGCCGGCGGCGAGAATATTCGTCGTCGGAGTCATCTCTTTTTTGTTTTTTGGAGATATTAATTTCAGTAATTGTGTTATCTATTGAATTACCCACTGCAGAAGTTATCGATATAGATTCTGTACTAAGAGTTTTTTTAAAGGAAGGCAAATCCATTTTTTTATATGTCAAAGTGAAGAAATAAAGTGCTCACTGTGTATATTTATACGTAATGTAACACATAGCGGGCTTAAATATGATTTGTTGATCTTCAAATTTATCACCGCAATTTGGGGGAACACTATATACAGTGGCCCGCATAAACAGCGCACCACTTGCATCGCTAATCGTTGATCACCTGATTTTCACTCACATGCAATTGTTATGTCAGTTCGTCTATAATCCATGTCGATCCGCCAAAGTGATGGTGTGTTTTTTTCCGTTTTATCAAGAATGTAAAAAATATGCTTTAACTTTTTTTAAACATAAATCAAAAAAAGATTCCTTAGCATGTATTCTATTAGAATTAACTATTTTTATAACGATGTTAATATTCTAGCCATGACGAAAAAAAGTGTTGAGTCATGTGATTCCGATCCCAATGTTGACGAGTATAAGCATATCAGACATTTGTATGATTGGTTAATTCCAATTTCATATGAACTTTGATATGATTGGTTGATCAAAATATATTTATTTCATAAATATTTCAAGTGTTGATTTGAAGTCATTTGCGATTTGTAGATTAAATAGTGATTGCTTTGATAAGTCTTCGACTTCATTATTATTATCCGTTGATTGAACCTCATTTTCTTGACTAAGATCAATCTCAGAATCATCTTCATCCATACTCGTATCTGTAATTCTGCTAATAATAGATTTTACGTTATAATTGATTTCATTTTTAATATACTTTAAACAATAAAAATATTTATGTTCGAGATATTGCAAGCAATGTTGATGATAAATGTGACCACATGGAAGTGAAATAGACTGATCAGAAGTTGATTGCAACGTTTTACAAGAATTCTGAAGATGACATTTTTCTGATGGATCAAACGGAGAGTATTCTGAATTGAACATTATTGGTAAATATCGTTGATTCACGTCTATATTAAGAGTTGCAAGATGGCATAATAGTTTGTTTTTGTCACGTTTTGTTCATTTGCTTTTCCCAGTATTGTTTTTAACGTCAGTAAACAGTTCTAGAAGAAAGATAGATGCTTTGTTAGTTAAACCTATTAGATCTTCTTTACAATAAGGATATCTTGTTAGCGAAACAAATGTACTCTGAAACACGTTATCATGATGAAGATAATTAATAACGCGAGCTGTTCTTGAAAGTTGTTCGAGCGTATCTGTTTCTCTTATTTGTCGACGAATTAGTGAATAATAATTTTCCACTGGATAATCACTAAACGTCACAAGATGCTTTTCTAAAATCTCAAGAATAGGATAGTTAATACTTTCTCAATACCAAACATCTGAAAGAAAAAACAGTGGTGCTTTGTTATAATTTCTCTGTTTAAATCGAGCAAACAAGCACCATATTCTCACACAAGCCTCAATATATTCATTCCAATCGCCTGATCTAAAAATTGTTGCGTAAATGTTGAGAACTAAAGGAATTGTGTCATCTAAGAGAGTTTTTAGTGTTAGGCATTTAACATCTCTACAACAAGAAAAGTCAAATTTCTGTGCAATATATAGAGCGACGGTTTTTCAAGCATCTGATATTAATTGTAATTCTCCAAGGATGAGGTTTGTTAGCAAGTTTTTTGTTTTTTCCAAAAATATGCATATGTGCTAAATTAAAAAATTCGTAAAACAACAACACAACAGTTTCACGACTGTTGAGAGATACATGTAAAGATCTCATTATTGGAATAAATAAACTAACACATTCTGGAATTTTACTTATTTGAATATTCTTCCATGCTTCTTGTTGTTGCATCATAATTGCTTTTCGAGAAAGTATTTGACCTGATCAATCAGTAACCAATGGAATAACATTGTGCTGGAGATACTCGTGAAATTCTGGAAAGGATGCAAATGTCTCCATAGCTTTAATGTATATCTCCGTCAAATGTAAATTAAGCTTGAGAAAATTGATTAATAGTGTATTATTAAGTTGCTGATTGTGTCATTTTTTATGGATATCTATATCATAACAATGAACCATTAGATTATCAAGTAAATTTTCAGCGTAAGCAGGTTTTCTTGCAAACTGATCATTAAATGATTGAGATAGAAGAGCCATAAACTGATTTTCTATTTGAGTAATCAAAATACTACTGTCAACAAATCACAGGTTATGTATGTTTGCATCTCTGACACTCTTTGAAATCGCACTTGCTGTAGATATCAGGATAGCAAGAACTGTAATCATGTAAGCAATCATACTGGTTGACGTAGTTGTTGGAATGCGTAAATCATGAATGTTGTGATAATCATCGATATTAGTGATTACCACATTTTTCTGATACTTTACCAGCTCTCTTGCGACATTATCTCTATAAATAGAAGATATGATATTTTTTCCACGTCGATTCTTCCTTGACGTAGAACTCAACTGCATGTTAGATAAAGTATCGATTGCTTGATCAGAGATACCTAAATGATTCAAAAATATAGCAATATCTTTTTTCAATATACCAATATGTTTATTTCTGATCCCTGTGAGAAAATGACATAAGAATGAGAGATCTTTCTGTCGTTGTGAGATAGTATAATTCACAAGACCTCTATCATTCAAATTAATTAGTTTCTCAAGCAGGTTGAGAAATGATTTGAGACAAATATTTTTTGACTCCAAATTCATCTGAAGCAACTTCCAATCATATATCAGTGATTTTTTTTCTTTTTTCTCGTATAAAATATGTGCACCATCGATCTAACACATTCAATAAAATTAATCTCATTGATTCTTCCATCATCATTCATCTCTGATGACTTCATTTTCAGCTCTTGTTGACTGTCATCACAATCAATTTGGTCTCCTATCACTTTACCTTCTATATTATTATCTTTTCACCATCTCTTTAAAGAAACTGTGCTCTCAGATATCTTGATACTTTTCTCAGTATTAATATCATTCACAATATAACTCATGTAATGACTGTTACAGAACTGAATAACATTTAATATCCATGTAGAATTCAAGATTTCATGCTGTAGAACTTTCCGGTAAGTGTCTTTAGTAAACCTTTGAAACTTATCTTCAAACTCTTTTGCTTCACAAATAATACAGAGTCCAACAAGTCTTTTCTGTAGTCGTGCACTTGGAATTTTCATGTCTTTAAAGATTATTTAAAATTACTTGTTCTAAACTTGTGGGATTAGCAGGATTACTTCTGTCAGAACGCTTAAGTAGGTGTTTAAGAATATGCAAACTGAGTTGTCCTTTTTTTTGTACAGAAAATTTTACATTCTTTTAACATTTTAAATTGTATAAAAAGTTCTATATCTGTTATATTACATAATTATAGTACAGCTAATCACACAAATATTCAGTATGCTGATGAATAATATAGCAAAAAAAAGTGTCTTTCACGTGATTTTTGATCTGTATCCATACTCCAACCAAATATTTGACTTATTAAACTTCAAAATTATTAATATAACTAGATTAATTTTTTTATTGCTGAAGTGTAGTCTTGTTTATAGTAGTATCTAATCTAGTATACTATTACCATTCTTATATTGATAGACAAAGTATGAACTAATTATAGTAATTAATTAAGAATTATATAAGAGTAATAATAGTGATTGTGTGTAAGGATGCTTACCTAAATCCTTTCAGAAAAATATCGTCATAATTTTGACGGGTTACACACTAATTGTTAATTAGAATTTTGGCATAATTTTAGTTATGACAGATTTCAAAACTCGTCAGAATTTTGGCAGGCTATTTACTAATAGTTTATTATAATTTCGACAGAATTTTAATGGTCATTAAGAGATTTTGGCAAGCAATCTTAACTGACACTATTCAATCTCATCAAAATCAATTGGAAATACAAAACCAACAGCTCCAACAATTACAACAACAACAAGACGAAAATGTTACTGGCAGTGGTAGTGATCAAGCACCTATCATAAATAATAATGATGGAAATAACAATCCAAAAATTCCAGTTAAAATTCCAATTTACAAAGGTAAACCAAATGAAAATGTTTTGGTTTGGTTATTGAGAATTGAAAGTATCTTTATTGCTCAAAATGTTATTAATAATGAAGCAAAAATAAATTACACATCAACTGGACTTGAAGATACAGTCTTTCACTGGTATCTCAACAAATTGAAGGCTAATATTAATAACACTAATCTCACCTTTGCTAATTTTGATACTTTTGCTCAAGAATTACGCAATGCTTTTTAACCACCAAATTATCAACAACATTTGAGAAGACAACTTAAACAACTTCATCAAACTGGTATAGTTCAAGAATATGGTACCAAGTTCAAAAATCTTGTTGGATAAATTGAAGGTATGGGTAACCTAAACCAAGTTATTTACTTTATTGATAAATTGAAACCAGCAACAAAATGAAAATTAGTTATCAAGCACCAGAAAATTTGGAAGACGCATGAAAATTAGCTATTAGATATGATATAGCTATATTTGGTACTGGTAAACCACTCAATAATAATTCCTCTCACAAAGTACCATTCAAAAGAACTTCATAATTCAGTCGTAATATACCAAATAGTTTTACAAGTACACCCATGGAATTAGATCATGCTGAGCAATTCAAGAAAAATTTTATTTACAACAATTTCAACAATAATAAAGTCAAAGGCAGTTGTTATAAATGTGACAAACCAGGTCACTTTGCTAAAAATTGTTATTCAAAAGGCAAAGCAAGAATGAATAACATTGAAGAAATTGCAGAATCTTCTATCAAACAACAAAATAAAAGAGTAGAATTTGCTTACATTGCTGACAACAAAGAAAATTTATTGAAATTTAATAGACAAGTTAATGAAAAAGATACTTGAATTTTATTAGATAGTGGCACATTAAGAAATTTTATTGATGAAAAGTTTGTTCAAAAGAATCACATCAAGGCTAAGAAAATATAACCAATCACAGTAGAATTGGCTAATAACAAGAAAATTACAACTATAACTACAGTCAACATTCAAAATTTAAAATTAAATACTTACAAAACTTCTGAAATCAATTCTCAAGTTCTCAATTTACAATATTATGATTTGATACTTGAAAAACCATGGTTCTTTTATGCTAATCCAACTATTGACTAGAGAAATAACACTTTAACTTTTAACTATAACAACAAATCTATTAAAATCACAGCAAACATTGATTCAAATTCATCTAGTTGTAATTTTATCTACATCTCTCGTCAACAATTATCCAATTGTTCAAATAATGCTGAATTATTTGCTATATGCTTATTTAATGTTGAAGACAAAGAAAATATATTAAAACCAGAAGTACACAAAATAATTCAAATGTTTTTCCAAAAGAATTACCAGCAAAACTTCCATCCACAAGAATAATTGATTACAAAATTGATTTAATACCTGGAAGTGAATTACCATCTCGTCCAATTAAGGATGCTTGCCTAAATCCTTTCAGAAAAATATCGTCATAATTTCGACGGATTACACACTAATTGTTAATTAGAATTTCGACATAATTTCGGTTACGACGGGTTTCAAAATTCGTCAGAATTTCGACAGGTTATTTACTAATAGTTTATTATAATTTTGACAGAATTTAGACAGTTACTAAGAGATTTCGGCAAGCAACCTTAATTGTATATATACTTGTGGAAGATGAATTAATTGGCAAAGTAATCATTTATAATCGATTGTAATTGATTGTAACTGATTACAATCAATTGTAATTGCTACAGATCGATAGACAATGAGTAATTAATTATAATAAATAATCATTTATCATTGATTATTAATTATCGATGAGAATCAATTATTGATTGTAAACGATTACTCATTGTTTATTGATCTGTAGCGATTACAATTAATTGTAATCATTTACAATCAATTATAATCGATTATTTAAAATCAATGATCATTGATTATAGATGTTCACCGATTCTAAACAAAAAATCGATTATATTCAATTTTAATAATCATTGATTATATCTGATTGCAATCGATTATAATCGATTATTAATAATTGATGATAATTGATTATTGGATAATAATCGATTATAATCGGATATAAAAATTTCCTGATGGCTGCATTGATATTGTTGTTTGTTTGTCCATTATTCACTGATCCATTTGATGCATTTGGTTTGATATTGTTTTGCTGGTGCAGATTTTTGGTATTCGCATTATTTCATTTTCGCCAATTATGTTCATGATTATTCTGGTAATTATTCAGCAAATATGACTTGGAACATCTGATACTAATGTGTTTTTTCTTTTCACAATTATAACAAGTGAGTGGTCTTCTATTATTTTGCCAATTTCTTGTCAGATAATCATTCCAGCTCATAATCTGATGATTCTGCGACATTTCTAAATGTTCTAACCTACGGATTAGTACACGGAGAGTTGTCGTCAATTCATTGAGCTGGAGATTGGAGGAACTGTTTGATTGATGATATGATCTTGACTACTTCGATGGTATTTAATAATATACTGTCAGAATTTATTTTCACCCACTTTCGCAATTCTGGTTTTAGTCCACAACGGTAAGTTTTGACATGACTTTTGTTATGTATATGATTTTTTGGATCTGCTTTCCGTAGCAGTTCGTAGAATTTGTTGGTATACTCATCCACCATTCCCATTTGTTGTAGATCTTCCAACTCATCCCGTCATTTATCTAGCTTTTGATGAGTTTGAAACTTCAACGTGAAGTGATGTTTGAAGTCATGTTCATTATGGGTATTGTTGGTCCAGTCGGTCAAACTAAGTGCATTGTCAGCTGCTCGTTCGTCAAACCAAATAGCTGGTGGTTCTTCCTAATATCCACGCACGACCTGAATTCTTCTTTCAGTTATAATCCCATTGGTTATAACAGCTACTTTGAAATCCTTAAGTCATGCCACCAGGTTCTGGTCTCCTCCTCGAAACTTCTTGATCGGTATTATCATTTTTTCTATTACTTAGACATTCTGATTGGCCAATGCAACCATCAATTAATCCATTGCGGCTATTATGCCCTCCACATTTGCCATGTCTTCTTGTTGATTTTCTGAAGATGGATTTATTTCTTCATCTTCATCATCGTATATTACCTCTTCGTATGATGGAAAGAGGTCTCTGGATCACTAAATTCAATTAGGTTTATCTCTTTGATTGTTTTTTCGGTTTCCTGTTCTTTGTCACTTTCCTCGGTTTGGATTCCTATGTCAACAGTTTCAGAATATTAATCCTCCGAGTGGTTGTCATCTGAGTCCTGGTCATTGTAAATGTGTCGTTCATAGGTTTGTGAATTTACAAATCTCTCGTAGACGGTTATAACCAATCTAATTTGGTCATCTACCACGAGATATTCTCCAAATAGAATGGTGTTTAACAGATGCACTATTCTTTGTCGAATTACGGTTGGATGGACTTCGCCGTAATTGTAGTTGACAAGTTTGTCAAATGTTTGACAAGTAATATTGTTATAAGATTTGGCTCCTGCAGTTTCTATCCAAATTCAAAATCATCAGAAGGACAGAGTAAATTCTTCTGAAGGAGGATAACACACGGAACAGTAAAATTGTGATTGTCAAAATGAAGGTTCACCGGAAAGATGCTGTTCCAAATGGTCATTGATCAATTCTCCCGTGAATGTATACACTTCGTTCATTCACCGTGATGAATGATTCAAAATTTTTTGTGAAGGAAAACAGAGGTTCATTATTTAAGAAGGAAATTTCTGCAGATATTGAATTTTACAGAGGGAGCACCAAAATGTTATAACTACTCTTTAATTATTGTAATTAGAGAATAGTGAATAACACAAGAGTTTGAACAAAGACTGAATGATTTACTTAAAGAGGAATTTTCTAAAGGTTCTAAAGATCTCCTGTGATGACTTTTACAAAAATCAATACTGATTAAAGGTAAAGAAAAGGAGAAATAATAACAAAGGGGACTTTAATAATCAAAAGAAAAAAGTAAAAATTAATTTAGCAGCAGTTAACTTGCTTTAACAAAACAAGACTAATATTCTCAAATATTCTTCAGGTCTTCTTACAATAGTCTGATATTACAAAATACACTATCACAAAAAGCACTATTACAAAAGGTTGAATTTATTGATATGACCAACAAAACAAAATACAATCAAAAGGGTATGGAATATTTAGAGTAGAGGTCTTCTACTATCAATTTATGTTAGGCACAAAAGAAATAAAGACCACTTTTACGAAAGATTTGAAGTTAATCAAGTGGAAAGAATTACAACAAGTAAGTTTAAAGTTACTAATTAAAGCCTTTTTTTATTGATTAGAGCATGAGTATTCCAAGAGGTTTTAAAAGTATCTTTATATATACAACTTTGACAGTTATACTAATTATAAGTTAATATTACACACAATACAATCCAAATGTTTCTTTTGTCTAAAAATAATTATCTAACTATTGTTCAATGCCTCCAAATGTTTCTTTTCTAATTGCACAATATTAGATTTAATTGTTCAATGTTTCTTAATGTTTATAAAGCACTAAAATGATATTGAATAATATTACAAATGGTTTATACATGATTTTGCACAATAAAATGTTTTCAATATTTTAATTAACACAAAAGAATTTTCTAAAATATTTCTAACATTTTTAATATAAATAAAAGTACAAATTATGTAATAAGTATAATGAAATAATTATAGATAAGATATTTATGTAAAAATTAAAAGAAATTATGAAATTAAAGAATTTATTGTTACTACGGTAATAGTATTTATAAGTATTTGATAATTATAAAATAATTATTTGGAATAATCATTTGGAATGTTTAAAATGATCGTTTACAATAATCATTTGCAATGATCATTCAGAGCACTTGAGATAATCAGTTGGAATGATCATTTGAAATGATTATTCAAAGTGATTATGTGAAGTGATTATATAAAGCGATCATGCGAGATGATCATTTGTAATTATGAAAATATCAAATCATAACAATATATTAATAATTTCATTTTTAATATTATTTGTTATATTATATAACAATAATAAAATATAATATAATATTAATTTTAAAATAGTTATTTTAACTTGCTCTTTTGCTTTAATAACAAAATTTTATTTGATACAATATAATATAAAACTTATAAATTTAATAATAATATTTTGTTTAGTATAATATGATTTAAAATTACTTGTTAATGTGTACAAAAATTTTTGTTAAGAAAAAATTTTATTTTTTATTTACAATATATTAAATAAAAAGATTTTTTTATAAATTAAAATTTCAAAGTATTATTTTAAAAATATCATTATAAAAAAATAATTAGTAATAAAAGAATCCTTTATAAATTAAATTAAAAAATATAAAGTAAATTAAATATTCTTTTAGTTTTAAAATACTTTATACTAATATAAAGAATTAGTATTTCAAAATTTTCTTAATTATATATTTTTCTTTTATTTTATAACTTTTTTCTTTTTTTTTATAATTTATTATACTTTTATTTTTTTAAAATTATTATTTAATCTTCTTTTCTAAATTTGTAAGCTAATTTATTAATTAGTAAATAAACTTATAACAATATATTTAAACTAATAAAAATATATTTTTACTAAAAGAAAATAAAATATTATCTATAATGTAATAACTAATAATATATTGTTTGTGTTGTTCTTATAATTATTTATTAAATTCAATTTTTTTGAATCTTAATTTAATTTTTCAATAAAATTAATATTATTGAACTTGAATATGAATAAAAGAATTTCTTTATTTTTTTAATAATCTTGTAAAAAGTCTAAAGATTATAATTAATTATTTTATAATAAAATTAAAAATAATATAATTGTATCTTATTATAGTTATTCTTGATATAGTTATATTTTTAATATAATCACATTTTTTTATTTACCAATTAATTTTATCTTTACATAATCACATTTACACTATAATTATTAATAGTATTATATTATCTTTAATTACAAATTATATAATTATAAATATCAACTAATTATAATATTATATATAATATTACAATTTAATTGATTGATTGATTTTTTGGCTCAATCAATTTAAGAATAAGAATCAATTTCTTAGAATTAATTAATTTTGAATCAATTCTGAAAATCAATTAATTTTGTAAAATTAAGAAAATCAATTCTTAGAATTAATTAATATTTGAGAACTAATTAAAATTAAAGAATTAATTAAAATTTAATAATTAATTAAAATTTGAGAATTGATTTTAAAGACAAAATTGATAATTAATAATAATAATACATAATTATATGTAAATATATATAATTAAAAATCATAATTTTTATGTGAAAAACATATAAATGATATAGTGCTACATATTCTGTTATTCAACAAAAAAGTTAATATTGATAATAATCAAGAAATTATTACTAATATAAAGTTTAATAATTCTAATAGTGATATTGATCTAAATTTCAATCTAATAATAATACTTCAATTGCTTTTATATCATATAATATCTACGAATTCAACTAATCAACTAATTAAAGTACAATTTCAATTATTCCAATGAAAAATCAACATACAATAAAAAACAAAACCAAAATCTAGTTATGAGATCATTATTATTGTTGTTATTGTTATCATCATCATCATTATTACTGTTATCATTGTCATAATTATTGTATTTTGTGCTTAAAAATTGATTTTTGATTGAAATTGATTTCTATTTCTATTGTGATATCCAATTTTAGAATCAATTCTGGATTAAAATTGATTTCTATCTCTAGATCAATTGATTATTGATTTTTCTTGACTTGATCAATTGATTGAGCTAAATTTATTAGCTTTATTTACTGCTCTTTCCTTGCTCTTTTCACATTTTCCTCTTTCCAACTTATTTTTTTTATAACTCCCTCTTGCATTTTCATGATTTTTATTGCTGGTTTTTGTTTATGGTTTTTTCTCTTAGTTCATTATGCCACCAGTTTCTATACTTAAAAATATAATAATAATGCAAACTAATATAATAATAATATAACAATAATACAGATTAATTATCTCAATATAATTATATAATTTTGATAGTATCTTATTAATGATTATAAAGAGAAATTTATATAATTACCTCTTTTTATAATCATTTAGTTTTTGGTTTTCAATTGCATGATTATAACAAGATGCAACTGTACAAACAAATACAATTTTTATTTTAACTTTCAAAAGCTTCAAGATTATTCTTCAAAAATAATTTTATTTTTGAAAAAAGTGTAATTTTTATATAATATAACTATAATAAAAATAATTGTAAATAATTTGATTGTATTTTTCGATATTTTGTCTTATTACATTGAAATATAATAATTTTTAATTGATGAATATATGTATATATATTTTTTTACTTAACAAATACATGTAATAAGAGAAAATATATCTGAAACCAAAATTATAAAATTCTTTTATTATTTAGTTCTTTCATGTAAATAAATTATTCCAAAAAATTACAAAACTATCAGGATTTCTTTATTATAGATATTCAGTCTGAGCAAGTTTCTGCAAAAAAAAGATTATATTATTAATAATGCAGCGCCTTTTTCTTCAACTTCTAATATGTTTAAGCAAATGATATTTATCTAAAATGTTTGATGAATGCATATATTATATTGATCTGGCACATTATTATCTCTTCTTTTTTGTGTTATGTGCATATGCTTGGTGTTTCCTTTTTCTCATTTCTTTATTATCCATTATCCATTAATTTCAAGCAAATTAGTGAGATACGGCATCCGATTTCGCCTCTGATTTTCATTCCAAGAGTTTTGCACGTGTTTCTTTAGCGGCTCTTTGAATGACGGGTCCATTTGTAAGACCATTTGCAATTTTTCCATGGGTAGTTGTGAAAGAACGGGAAGAGAATTTGGTAATGTAACCTAAATAGATAAGATTAAATCGTAAATTATAAGGCTCAAGGTTTAATTAATTATGCAGGTTGCAGATACATTAATAACATGAACTTACTTTGCAACACTTGATAAATCCTTTCCACAGATCCGGATTATCCCATACTTTTTTCGTGATTAATCGCGATAATAAGTTTGTGACAAATCCCATTAATCTTTTGTACGAGTTTACACTTTGATATAACTATATATGAGAAGATTGAGCAAGTTCATGGGCTGGCAAATGAATGTATTATTTAAATCATAAATTTTCAAAAAAAACTTACAGTAAACATGATCAAATTGGGTAACTCTGGTTCATCGACTAATTGTTGCAAGACAACAGCCAGTACTTCGGATTTAAAGATATGTGTCATCGACAAGCAGACTTTGATTGCTGGAGAATAAATTTTACCGAATATTATTTATTTAAATTATTATTATTTTGTCTCAAAATCTAAACAATAACTACCTTCAGCCAATTTAGCTTGGCTAACTTGCCCATCCATGTGATGCAAGGCCAACAGTAATTCACTTGGTATCAACGGAGCAGTTGTTGGTTGACCAGATGGTATTTGTGTGGTGGTGGATCCAGTTGCTGCCGCTGGCGTAGTAGTGGTGGTAGTAGAAGTAGTAGCAGGAGTAGCAGTAGCAGCAGCAGCAGCAGTAGTAGTAATAGTAGGGGGAGGAGAAGATAAAATCCTACTGAAAACTTCTTTTACGGGTCTCTTTTGAGTCTCGGTTCCATCGAGTATATTAATTACTTTTGGAAGATGAACAATTATTTCATTCTTTTTATTGGAGGAGTTGTATCAAGTTAATTAATTGGAACTTATAAAATAAGGTCAAATTCATTATTTAGCTACAAAATAGTTACCTTCTCTAAAGCAGATATAATTGGTATTAAAAACCTCGAATCGAGATTTCGCTGTTCCATAGCAGATTTGACCGTACTGACTAACTGTGGGGACGGTCTCACTACAATTATAATTCAAACGATACAATAATTTAGAGTCTAATTCATTTCTAAGTGTCCATACATAAGAAATAAATGAACTCACTTGCACTAGTCAAACTCACAACCATCTTCAACGCCAACGTATCACATCCTTCCGGGAAATTTCGTATAAGTTGCAACAGTTTCGGCGAGTTCATTCCAATAGATTTTATCACCGGAATCATGTTTTGTGTCATAATTTTTCGTACAAATATTGATGCGTTTTTGTATGCGTTGAAAAGTCTATTTATAAATTTTGACATTTAATGTATATATAAATTATTCGAAAAACTAAAAATGTCAGAATCATGGGGATGATGCAATGGCATGATACATACTCGCTCAACAATTCGTGCTGTTTCGCGACTAGAGCCAAATAGAGTTCTAGACGCTTCGTGATTTCTTGCTCAGTCCATTTACGAGCGAGTTCATTATTGTCGTTCGTTGGTGTAGCCTGGTCAATTTTCATAGCCTCAGCATCTAATGAACCTTGTTCTACTACAGGTGTGCCTAAATGATAGTGATAGTCATATGGGAGCGGTGGTGACTCGAGGCACAGTTCATTAAGAGATTTGATGGCGAATGATTGGATCTCAGTGGCTACTTGGTTATTATCATGAGCACCCCACCATTTTCTTAGGGTTACTATCGCCGATGATCTTGTTATTCGGTCTAAATTATTTGAATAAAATTCATTACTTAGCAATCGTTATCCATACAAAGTCATTATAATTAAAATAGGATTCGCTTACCTTTATGAATAGAATATTGCAACAGAATATTCATGGCGCATTGTCGCACCGGTGGTCGCATCTCAATCAATTGAGATAATGTCGAGAAACCTAATTGCATTCTAATTTATCGGAAATCATTCACAAAAAGGGAAACTCAATCTATATATCAGTATCATAATAACCATGATAAAAATAAAGATAATTCACCGATCAGGATCATTGCAATAAATCTTGACACGATCAACTACATCTTCGGGCAATTCAGGAACATCCAATAAGAAGGTAGTGAACGTTTGGTCTTTGGCTTCGAGTGCTGGCATGGCGGTATCCAATAGTCGACGAAGCCATTTTGCATAGTTTGCACTCTATTATGTGAATCGTTAAAGAATTAAAAATAAATGTTTTATTAATCAATTAAGCTTCTATTGCGTTGAAAACAGCAATAAGGATAATGTAAACTCACATAAGACAAGCTATTTCGTAGCATAATATTGTCATGATACCATTCTTCATATAACCATGTTAATGCCAATTCCATCCTATAGCAATAATAGATCTCAGTTATATATATATGAATCTCTGGTGGCTAAGCTAAAGCCACGGTTTTTATATAAGAATAAAATATTTTGTTTATGCAACTACGAACCGGCCTCGAAAATCTTCAAGAATATATTTCATCATCAATTCCCTCAACTCATCATTTTTTCCTTTTATATCATGAGTATCAGCTTCCTCCTTACTTTCAACTTGCTCCTCCTTTTCCTCCTTACTTTCAACTTGTCCCTCCTTTTCCTCGTTTTTCTCTTCTATTTTCATAACATCACCAGCACTCGATATATCTTCAGATTCAGTTTTACCTTGTGCTTCCTCCATATGAACATCTGTCTCTATTTTCACAGAAGATTTGGTATCATCGGTTTTACTAGGCAACTCAGGTTCGTTAATAACGTCCCAATCGGTATTTAGACCTCTCGTGAGAAGCCTAGATATTATCATCATCCATTGAGACTTTGTCATCCCTGAGCTAATGTAAGATTGAGATTGTTCAAAGGGTTTTGACACAGTAGTAGAAGCACTATCAATTTTTGTTGTCATGCCACCAGTAGGAAGTCTTATTTCAGCATTAAAAATGCTTTTCACGCGTGATTTCATAAGGGATCTACATTCTTCGAAGGATAGTGGTTCAGGCGGTGGAAGCGTGAATGGCTGAATTTTAAAAGTTTGTGCTGGCCGTTCTAATATTGGAGCCTGTTGTGTAGGTTGTTTTATAAGCTCTTGATCTTTCAATATTGATTCTGATAGTTTTGTCGTTGATTCAGTTGGTATTATTAGCTGTGGTTCAGGTTCAGGTTCAGATTCTATTTTTGTGAATATTTTCTCGTCTATTTTTTCTGTTGCTATAGGTAAAGGTGACCTATTTTCTTCATTTTTGGGATGCTCCAGAGGAACAACAATCTGTACATTGGTGGTAGTTGAAAGAGTTTGAGATGCTTCGATGGATGTTGTCTCAACAACCGAAGTAGATGCTGACACAGTAACGCATGGCGGAGAAGGTGATGGCGATGCAGCCGCACCAGCAGCTCTTAGACGCGGATCTCGTAGACGACTTTCGCGTCTTAATGCAGTTGTTTTCAAATTGACTATAGGTGGGGTTGAAGAACGAGGTGGTGTTGATGGTGAATTTTGATTTTGTGCGTGCTAAATTTTAAATAATCATAGATTCAGAATTTGCGTAAAGGTTAGATTTAGCGTAGTTGAATATGAAAAAGGCGCGTAAATTTGAAAATTCCAATACCAAAACAGTTTGATTTAATCGTCCCGGGGAGACAGCCTGTAAGGTACCAAGTATAATTTCTACGACCAACGGCAATGGGAACTTTGTCACATCAAATTGACTTAACAATAAATGTATATTAATTCACAAATTAAGGAAAAAATTTCAAAATAAACAACAATAGACATTAATGCGACCCAAAGAAAAAAAGGATATTATTTATATATATTGTATTGCTAATATCATTTCCTTCCAGACGCGGACGTTTTGAAAACTCAGGAATACCCGACGTGGCCCCTCGTTTCATTGAAGTTCGACCATCATTCTGCTGTTGCAACAATTGCCGGAATTGTTTGGGAAATTGTGCGAGTTCTTGTTTTCCTCCCATTGCAACTAAAGAATCGAATATTTGCATAGCTGATGGTGATGAAGGTTGTGCCCTATCGATATAAATAAATATATTGATTTGTTTTCGTTATTGTAGGTTAAAAGGAACTTCAATGGAATTATCAATGGAATTATCAATGAAGAATAATATATTTACTTTAACAATGACATTAATAGGATCCTAACAGATTTCTCCACGTTTCCCATCTGGCTTTCGTTAAGATGGCTAGGTGGTGTGCGCATCCATGAACCAAAGACATTAATTATATTCTCAATGTATTGTGGTCTTGCTCTTAGTAGAGGGCCCAAACAATTGATCACCGCAGTTATTATACCGTTAGATCTATAGTCATATAATAAATAAATTAAGCGATCTACTATTTTAGAGTAGAATACGAGCTAGACAGAGTCAAAACTTACTCTTTACGTAATAAAGTCAGTAATGTATGTAGGATTGCTATCGCCTCTTGCTCGAGCAACTGTGGATCCAGAAAAGGATGCGTAGGAGGACAAATCGAAAGAGAAATATCTTCATATTGTCTAACCTTTTTATATAAAAAAATAAAAAAGAATGGATTCACAAATTATATATATCAATTACTATTTGCAAAAAAAAACCTACCATCGAATCTTGAACGCGTCGCGACTGTACAATCACCACAACTTGCAGATATTTTACCACGTAGACTTTAACGCCATCGTCTGTTCTAGGATTGGCCAACAACGAAATTATCGCATTCTTTATTTCACATGCAGTACTCCAGGCTTGTTGTCCTTCTGCGAGTCTTTTATAGCATCTAGGTGAACAACGACAACAAACAATAGTGGATAGATAGATATGAAAAGCGTCAGCAATAACGAATTTGATTTCGAATCATATAATAAATAGTAGAGCGGCAAGACATATGATGATGACTCACATTGTTTTGAACAGGAATGGATATAAACTGGCGTTGCATGAGATTGTCTTCTTTACAACGACAGAGGATTGATCGTTTTTTATTAAATTCTCTAAGATTGGTAACGCACGTTGTAATACTATTTTTTTTGGCAGAATTATTCGGTTAAGGTTTAATATAATATATAATTATTGTGGTGAAGCCTAATTATTGTTGTTGTTCATCAGATGTTTGCCATATTTTTTTCCCAATAATTAAAGAGAAATTTGAAATAGTTAATATTTTTTATTGATTTTTTTTGAACCTATGAATTCTTGCAAAATAGTCTGTGTTCTCTAACAATTCTCTATATATAAATCTAACAAATTCTCGAATCTAGCTAACGGTTGTCCCAAGACAACAAACGACTCTATCACTCAAAATTCTCAAACTAAAAAATTGAGAGCCCACTTACGTTGCAATAAGGAATGGAATGTACAACAACAAAAATCAGAAAAATAAAAATAAAAATCAAGAATAAAGATAAAGGATACATGATTCCTTCTGCTCATAATTAAACGGTGACCTCGATAGCAAATACTCCAAAAAACTAACAGCCCACTCACGAATCTGTTCGTTTGCTGCTTCCACAAAGTTCAACGCGGCAGCAGTTTGAGGCTCAAAGAGATCGTCTCGACCCTCAACTAGTTGCTCAAACGCTATTAGCGATTCTAGTACTTTTTTGGCATCTGAACCGGGATCAGAAGCAATATTTAATAGATTTGCTATTTGCGCCTCAGTTGAGGAAGCCATGATTTCTAAAAAAAAAACTAGAAAAAGGTAGGTTGGTCGTATTTAGCTAGGTGTCTGTACACCGTTTATAAATTAGTAAATGTAGATCGAAACTACGTCATCAATCATGCCTATCACGATTTATCATAACAATATAACAAGGATGTTCAAATATCTTCTCTCCCTTCTCGAGTCAAATTTATTTTTGACAAGAAATCTGCTTCGATACACTAATAACTAGTTATTATAATTAGTAAAGTAATACATTATTATTGGTTCAGGCTATGACTAGAATAAAAATATTACAATTGATTCTATATGAGAAACAAGCAAGATTAAAAATCAACAGAAACTTATTAAATAGACATCGATATACCTATATATCGATAATACCCAAAGTTTTTTTTTCCTTAAACAGAGAGACTTTACATTCAGACAGTGATTATGAAGAAGAATTCGTCGGTCGTTTAATATACGGTTTCGATGGATCCTCAGCCAAGACCTTAGGTGGTCGAAACTCGCCCACAGTCTTCTTTTTCTTTTTACTCGATCCCGCTGCACCACCACCACCTTTTTTCCCCTGAAAATCACGCCACTTATTAACCCGCTGCTCGCGAGTCTCCTCCCACAACTTGTCTTCCTCAGCTTTTCGTTTTCTCTCTTTTTCTGCGGCTTCAGCTTTCTGTGCCGCCAGCCCCTGTGCCTCCATTTCACGTTTTATCAATTTCCGTTTTCGTAATTCGTGCTCAATCAAGATGTCCTTGGTCTTTTGTTTTATTTTGAGTCGGAATTCACGTGTTTGTAGAACTGGATCGTCGGATTTCAGTTTTTGGTCTGTGCAGAGAGTCGCGCGTGCTTCTTGAATTATTGCTAGAAGAAATGCGCGAGATTTCTCGTTTGATAGTTCTGTTTCTGCCTATGAGTTATCGACGGATCAGTTTAAATAAAAAAACGATTTTTTATTACACATTAAAACATGAAAATTTGAATCATTTAACCTTTTTTAATAAAGCAAAAGCCTCTTGCGCTCTCGGATGTTTTGTCTTATCTGGATGAATAAGCAGTGATTTCTTTCGATATGTATTCTTTATTTCTTTTTCAGAACAGTTTTCCGGCTCAATCTCTAGTACGTCGAACGGGTTTAGCTTGAACGCAGACAGTATCCGTTCAACCTCTTGATCCTTCTGAAGCTGTGTTGCTTCGGTTGCTAAATACTTTTCAATATCAAGTTCTTCAGACATTTTTTAGATTTTTGTTTAAAAATAAAATTGGAGTAATCTTGAAGGAATGCAAAAGTGACTAGAAAGTTTATCTGTATTTTCAATTTCTAAACGTGAGTGAAAATCTGGCTGGCACTAAAGTTCCTGTGCTACATATACAAATAGAGTAACCAGAAAAATAACGCATATATTTTTCGTATCACAATTTCTTTGACAGCTGCAAGAATTAACTCAATTAAACAAAATGCCAGTTTGCGTACATAAGGGCTGCGAAAAAACCTATACCGAAGAAGAGAATAACGACACAGCTTGTCTTTATCATCCTTCTTCTCCCATCTTTCATGAAGGTTTGTAAGAATATACGAGGTCATCTGCATTAAGATTAGGGTTTTAGTTGTCGAATGGATTTAATTGAAATTATCAATTATTTCAAAAGAAGCCATGATTCGTTTTTATAATTAGAAAAAGATATTGGATCTAATCGAGTTTTTTCACTTATATAAAATACAGGGTTAAAGGGATGGCAATGTTGTTCGCCTCGTGTTATATCATTCGATGATTTCTTGGCTATTCCAGGCTGCACACGTGGGTAAAGTATTTATTTCACATACTTGTTTATCATTCATTATGACCGGTTTTTTGGAAATAGCTTGTAATTCTGGGCTAGAGGTGGCAGAAAACTTTTTTGAGATCTTTTATTTTTTTTTAGTATACACAATCCCTAACTCACCATTCTCGGAGTTGATTCATGGAGAAATTTATCATTAAAATAATTTTTTTTACAGTCGTCACAGCGATCAACAGCCTGAAGCAGTAGCAACCACTAAACCACAAGAAGACACATCAAAATATTCAGTTGCAGCCACACCAACTGCAACACGAATCGAAAACGGTGTTGAAATTTACGGCAACGGTCCTTCAGTTTCATCCATTGGAAAAGAATTCGAATCATTAGCGGTTTCGTCCTCGTCATTATCTTCAGGCGCTAACCAAATAATGAAAAAACCCGTAAATGAAAAAACCCCAGAAGAAGATGATCTCTCGGTACCCGTATCGCCTGGGACAAAATGTAAACGTGGTGGCTGTAGTAAAACATTTATTGATGAGTCGACGAGTCGTGCTGAAGGAGGGACTGAAGCTGAATGCGTGTATCATCCGGGTAGTCCGGTGTTTCATGAAGGAAGTAAAGGTTGGTGATTTCTTTTTTTTTTGGTATGAATTGGAGAATTGGGATGTGATGGGATGTGAACAAAGGAGAGCGGAGGTGTTTTCAATTATAAATTTAATATTCAATCCTATATTTAGCATTCGTACCGAGTTTTCGGTGAGAAGATCTAAAATATTGCATTAATTATGAATTACTACTCTTTGATTTTTATATTTAGACTTCTCATTATATTCTTTCTTTTATGATACATTAATATATATATTATTTATAGGATGGAGTTGCTGTTCTCGTAAAGTTTTAGAATTCGACGAGTTTCTGAAGATACGTGGTTGTAAAACTGGCAAACACTTATTTGTCGGCTCAAAAAAGGAAGATGTGAGTTTGCTTCGTTTATTTTTGTCTTGTTTTAATGAGCGAGACAAGAGAGCATATTTTTATAGATAATCCTGCTGGTTTTATTTCATTGCATAGACACAAGCTGGTGAGGCTGTACAATGCCGTCATGATTGGTATGTCTTAATTTTGTATTTTAATTTATATAATCATGATATTAATAGTACATGTTGATATAATTAGGTACCAAACCCCTACTTCTATAATCATGTCAATATATGCTAAAAAAGTTGATAAAGAAAAGTCTTCGATCTCATTCAGATCCGAAGAGGTAAGTGTTTTTTTTTATTTTCAAAGCTATAATTATTTTGAATCCCGCTTCCAATAGTTTATTTGGTGGTTCAAATAAATCCTCTTTCCCGTACAATCACCCTATAAGATGGGCGAAAAGCATGGGGTATCTTATTGAGAAATGGTGATAATTAATTCTACGCTTTTATTCTTCATGCCAATTAATAAAGGTGGAAGCGAATCTGAAAATGTTCGACGGTAAACGATTTTGTGAAGTCATACCGCTCGAGTATTGTGTTGACCCTGAAAACTCCACCTTTGAAATTTTGTCAACAAAAGTGGAACTCAATATGAAGAAGGCAAGCAACAAATCTTCTATCTCAGGTCGCTGATTTTTCGAAATATATGTTACATATCGACATAAAATACACATAGTCACGTGGATTAATTAGTTATCCATTTTAAGAAGTTTCAATCTTTGTTTGAAATAACATATATCTTTTAGAATAAAAGAAACTATTAAGATAGTATAGCTAGTTAAGAAATACAATTATCTCTTTATTCTTTTTACAATTTCATCTTTTTCTGGTTTCACTATTTATAAAGCACAGGAAATTTTGATCTTTATATAGTTACAATCTCTTTGAAATTGTATTTTAAAATCCAAGAGCTCTTTGAAATCAGTATGCACATGGAACTTTGTTTATTAAAAAAAATATTATTTGGTTTTATTATTAGATCAATTATTATTATTCTTATCTGAAAAATTTGGAACTGGTCACTATATGTAATTGAATAGAGTAATTATAAAAATGACCAAACCAGTTATCTTTGCAGAAATCTTGCCAAACATAAAGTCAATGAATCTCACTCTTGGCTTATCCTCAAACAATAATCCATTATCATTTAATCTTGGTATATACTCTTCAAAACTAAGCTTTGAACAAAAACAACCGCCAACTATCTCCACTTTACATTTATCCAACCCAGTAGAGGCCACCGAAAAACCTTCTATAACAAGCACAAATGACGGTTTAGACATCAAACTCCGTCTACGAACTTATGTTCGCAAAAAACCCACCAGACAAACCATAGGTGGTGATATTATCCCGCCGTTAACTGCCAAAGAACTCGGATTACTAAAAAGCATTTTATGTTCTTGGTGTAAATTTCCGTTAGTGAATAGTAACGCATTTACTAAAGTTAAGGATTTGCCGTCAGAGCATTGGTTGGAGTTGATTGATTGTTGGATGTGTCATCAAGAAGATTATCAACAGGTTTTGTTGGGTGATGTTATTTCGAAAGAGAAGATAGCTATGGTCGGGAATACATATATTCTTGTTCATCCATCGGATATTTTGAAACCTGCTTTGGAGCTTGAAGACGGAATGACTGGTGTTGATGTAAGTAATTTGAATGATATAATTATTCCATTGAAAATAAAAAAGGAAATAAAGCTCTGACGATGGACTTGAAAGAAGACTGGTATTCTGAGAATTGTTAACCAGTCGATACTCCTAGTCCTAAATCAACAAATAACTGGCACCGTAATAATCCATCCTATGCAATATAGTGAATTTGCATATGCTATTACCGCGGTGTGCATGTAATCTTGTGTTTAGTTATATTAACAATTATTTTTTAAATTCTCGTTTTTTTTTATAGTGGTCAACGGGTCTATCTAGAAAATGGCTAAAAATGTGTTGTTCTAGGTGTCTTGCATCTGTTGGTGAAGGTCTTTATACCATTGCTGAAAATTTAGAAGTTGATGAATCTTCTACAGGTCGCGGGTCCGGTGGTAAATTTTTCTTTTTTCTGTAAAGTTCCGAGATTTCTTTATCTTTCAAATTAATTAATATAGAATAGTAAGCAGAAGTGTCGCATGCAATACTCAAGCCGTGACATCCATCATCTTAGTAAAAATTTCTTTATTTGGTAGAGCCAGCTTTATTAGTAGTCAAATTTAACAAACATATGACAGCTGTTGAATTATCCGCTCCTGAGAATCGGTAATGTTATTTTAGTTCCATATTATTCTTTTTGATTATTATTAATTTTATTATGATTTTTATAGAACAAAAATCATAACTCATAGTTTTGCTCCGTTTGTTACTGCCAATATTCTGGAAGCTGCTAAAGCACACGCGACTTATCGTTTTGTGATCGAATCAACTAACGATTTGCATGATAAAAAGTTTCAATCTTATTTATTGGTTGGTAGAAAGAAGACAATTAGATTATTGTGGATGTCAATTACTTATTCATTATTTATCTTAATTCCAACTTCTTATTTAATTAATGAATTCATTTATTTATTTAATAAAGATTTTCTTTCTATCCAGATTTGGTTGTTCTCGTGGGACACTAAAATCTTGACAAATGCCTTAGAAGGTGACGGTGGCGATGGTAATGGTACCACTAATTGGCAAAATAGATTTTCACCGTGTGTGATGATGAATAATAATAGTCCGAACCAACAAGCGATGTGGAATGATATGAAAGCAAGGGATGGTAAGTATCGTGGATTTTAATTATACACGTATTATAAGAGGATATATGATATATTGAATTATATTAATGTGCGATTATTAGTACTCAAAATATTGTATATTGATTGTACCACCATACGAACAGAAGAAGACGGGACATCAACTCGGAGGTACTTTAATTATTTATGATATATTTATTTTATAGCAACATATTCACACACATACATTAACACACAAAAACAGTCTAATCGAACAGTGGGAAAATGATAAATCGGTAGAACACTTTACATATCGTGCAGAAGTCTGTTTGGAGATTTTACTAATGCTTCGTCTGAGTACAAGTTTTCTACCCCCTAGTCAAAGGAGAGCCATGAACGGAGAATTTTCTGTGGGATTTTTGGATCGAGTTGATTATTGAATAAATTATGTATAATTACATGCATTATTCAGGTATTTTTATCGTCATGATTGATTGGCACGTGTTCTATATTGATTCAAAAAATTTTATTAAATATATAATCAATATTATATTCAATTATATTTAAAAAATAGAATAAATGTATTTGTAACAATCGCATTTTAATTGGCTAATTAGAACCTGAGTTAGGGTAAGGTTAAGCTTCTGGATATGTGATTGGTTAATATTGAAGTTGTTATATGTAACAGTTGTTACAATTAGATTGATTCTATTAACAAAATTAAAAACTTTTATGTAAAACAAAAATTTCAATTTTTATTATTTTGTTAATAAAATTCACATAATTTTATAATTTATAATTTTATTAGTTATTAAATATATTTTATTAATCATATTTTTAAATTTTTAAAATAATTGTTTAACAATTTTTTTGTGTTATTATAGCTTAAATAACTTTTTAATATAAAGAATTATTTTTGTTATCCAAATTATAAACTTTAATTTTTTAGTTAATTCAAAATAATAAAAATTTTAAATAAAATTATTAGCTTTTATATTATTTTCAACAATTAATTAATTTTTATATCATTATTTTGTATTTTTATTATATAAAAAAAACTTCAAGCTTGTATTAAACTTTAATTTTCATATTGAAATGATAAAATTATCTATTTTTGATTTTCAAATTAAGTTTCAAGTTAAATCTAAAAGTTTCAGCTTTTTAAGTATTTTAATTAACAAAACTTTTTTGAATCAATTAGAATCATATAAAAGAATTTTCTTTAAATTAGCAATCTAATATTAAATATTATATATTTAATTATTATATTAGACAATTTGTAAAATAGTATTATTTTTTTTCTCATTATTATATTTTAAAAAAGTTGTAGTCATAATATATTATTTATATAGTGCTAGAACTTTAAACTCAAAATTTTGTTTCAAATTGCTATATATAATATAAAATAGTATATCATATTAAATAATATATCATATTAAATAACATATCATATTAAATAACATATCATATTAAAATAATTATGCGACATAATTATTGCTAAAACAATAAGAAATGAAAATAACTTGATCATATTATAATATTATAATATTATTGTTATTTATTTTAAGTGAATAATATTAGTTTATAGAAAAAAAATCCCACCGGAAAAAATCTAAAAAAGTAAATAGTAATCAATCAAATTGATGAAAATTGAAAGATCTTATCTCAAAGAACAATATTATTAGTTTAGTTTTTCTAAATTCTATATAGATTTAAAGATCCCTATTTTTATTTTCGAGTGAGTGATTGGTCATTTTATTGGTCGTGTGCTGATTGGTCGATCAACCAATCAACAAAGCAAGAGAAATTTCTAGATTATCAAAAATTTTCCTTGATAACTAATAACGATAATGTTTTCGCACGCTAATGTATTTTAGCCAATCATAAATACGCCAATTTGCGTATCTCCAATTTTTCAATCACCCATCAATGAAAAAACAAATCCAGTTACCAACAGAAAACAAATTTGCAACAATAGTTCACGCACAAAAATATCACACATTTCCAGAGTTTACCCTAGAGTCTGGTGTCACTTTACATAATGTCACCGCAGCATATAAAACATGGGGAAAATTAAACGCGACGAAAGATAATGTGATGGTTATATGTCATGCATTGACTGGTAGTGCAGATGTTGAGGACTGGTGGGGACCGCTTATCGGCAAAGGTCGAGCATTTGATACTTCAAAATTTTTCCTCTTTTGTGGTAATGTGCTTGGATCTCCGTATGGTTCTACTTCACCTGTCACCATTAATCCTGATACTGGTCGAATTTATGGCCCTGAATTTCCATTGGCTACTACACGCGATGATGTTAGGTATGAAGATGCGTTTAATTATTCAGATTTGATGAGAAAAATTAATTAATTCATTGTTTCCACAGACTACATAAATTAGTGCTAGATCGTTTAGGCGCAAGACAAATTGCTATTGTTGTTGGTGGCTCGATGGGAGGAATGGCAGTACTTGAGTGGGCTTTTTTAGGTACTGATTACGTAAAAACTATCGTTCCAGTTGCTACTTCGGCTAGACATTCAGCATGGTGCATCAGTTGGGGTGAAGCTCAACGACAATCAATCTATAGTGATCCTAAATATCGTAAGTTTATGTTTGAAAATTAATTCTTGGATGTTCTAGAACGTCTCTCATCAATAATGTTTACATTTTCCGAAATTATAAATAAAGTCGACGGATATTATAATCCAAATGATGTAAGAATTTTTTTTTTGAATATTCATTTGTCAATAAGTTAATTATTATTCACAATGAATGATCTCTTTAGCCTCCAAACACGGGATTGGCAGCTGCTAGGATGGCCGCACTTTTAACATACCGTTCGCGAATTTCTTTCGAGTCACGATTTGGTCGTAAATATCATGATCCATCAAAAAATCCAGCTGGTGAACTAAGTCAGTCAAAAGTTATTCCAACAACTTCGGCCGAAAAAGCATTACTTTTACACAATGATGGCCATCATAGCGAGAACATAATTAATGGCATATATTTCAATAGTAATAATATAGAAAAAGAATTTTCAACGGTGGCTTCTCCGAGTTTATTTTCTGCACAATCTTATTTGCGATATCAAGGCGAGAAATTTGTAAAGCGATTCGATGCCAATTGTTATATTAGTCTATCGAGAAAAATGGATGCACATGATGTAACTACAGGGAGAGGAGAACAACTAGATCAAGTCTTGAGCAAGATAACTCAATTTGCAATGGTTATTGGTAAGATAAAAGTTCACTTTAATCTACAAAAATAATCTATGCATACACAACTCACAAAATAATTACTTTATATAGGCATAGAATCTGATGGTCTATTCACAATCTCTGAACAACAAGAACTTGCTGATCACATGCCAAATGCAGAAATGGTCACAATACAATCACCAGAAGGTCACGACGGTTTCTTGCTCGAATTCGATCAGATAAATTGTCACCTTTTGCGTTTTATCAAGACACATCTACCTGAGATTTATCAACAAGATGCATCGACAGAACAAGAACAGGAAAAAGTAGAAAAATTGGTGGCAACAAAGAACAGCTTATTTGGTGAGGCTGAAGTAGGTGATATGTTGAAATGGTGAAAAGACAAAATTGATTTCTTTCTGCAAAAAAACATTTTTATTATATTTGTAGAAATTTTGTGTAAATAGAATGTTCAACGTCCAAAAGGAAATTGCTATTATTCTGATCAAGTTTATAGATACTTCGTTTTATTATCGTAATTACCTAAGCATTATTTATAATTGTGGAAATCTGTAATTTCATGTCGACCTCCCATATATAATGAATTATTTTCAATAATGTGATTATAAAGAAGTTGTGACTGTATAGAGGTTGATTTCGCTATGTTTCTTAATTAAGTAAAATGGTGTGATGATATGGAGGTTTTTTATTAAGATGTGACTATATGGGAAGTCGACTGTGTTTCATTCAAAGTTAAACTCGTATCATTTATTGGAATGATATCAAATATTGCTTGTTTGATTGACAAATTCAATTATATAGATATTGTGATATTTTTAGTATTGTAAGAAAGTTTTAAAATCTAAATATATACAAGTCTTATTTGTGTTTTTTACCCCTCCCCCTTTTTGTATATTTTAATTCCATGAAAATTTTGGATAAAATTAAGATCTGCTGATCACTTGACGAATTTAGTTTGATTATTGCTAGTGATAACGATAACCATTTATTGTTATTGTTTAACAACAAAAAAATATTACATGACTCAAAAAACCAAAAAACAACTATCCAAGGATCCATGTTCAGCATTTCCACCGGAAATTATATCGGTAATTTTCAAATTTTGCTCTAGATCAACTCTACACTCTTGTGTATTTGTCAATAAACGATGGAACGCGCTAGCGAGTATATCCTTATGGCATTCGCCATGGTCACAAATGGCCAATAACTGGAAATTAATTTCCCACACGTTAACCAACGAATACGAAAACCGCGAAATACATCCGCCACGTTACGGACCAATGATCAAACATCTCGATTTCTCGGATATTTATTATATAGTACAAGATTTTCTAATTCAGGATCTGGCCAAATCATGCACAAAACTCCAAACGTTGATCATTGATTCGCCAAGACAGTTGTCAGATAATTCGGTGGGTGCTGTCGCTACTTTTTGCACCAAACTCTTGCATCTGGAGCTGCGAGGATGCACACGAATCACTGACGACTCGATGTCTTCTCTTGTGACAAATTGTCGCTGTTTGTCGGTTTTGAATCTGGAGAATTGTCCGCGAATTACTGATGTCACATTTACCAAGATGGCGAAACATTGTGGCACACATTTGATTTCCTTGAATGTCGCAAACTCATTATCAATCACCGATGAATCTTTGCTGGAAATATCGAAAGATTGTTATAATATGCGAGATTTAAATTTGGCTAATTGTCGCAATATCACAGATATAGGTGTTTCTTCGTTAAGTTCACTTACAATCATGCGAAACTTAAATATTTCACATTGTAATAACGTGACTGACGAGTCATTAAAAATATTGGGCAAATCTTGCGTAGAGTTAAAGAGTCTTGATATTATTGGATGTCGTAATGTCACTGAAGTTGGGGTCAATTGTTTGATTGATGGTTGTATGAAATTGGAATTATTGCGAATTAGTGAACAGTATGGAATGCTGTCAAGGGGCTTTCTGAAAAGTGTGGAGTTTAAGTATTTGAGGGTGAAATTGTCAAGAGTATGATTTTTATGGTCCATCCTCTTTTCGTGTAATATCTTAATTGTATATTGTTTCAAATTTACTATTTGTTGTAAATCTCATAAAAATTCATTGTTTGAGTGAGAAAACAAATTATTATTTATTTGCTTGTATCAATAAAAATTTATTCACTTGTATAAAATCAGGAAAAGTGATTGAAAGAAAAAGATACCCATTAAAATATATATCTCGAACTTTAGATAATACGTTTCAATACTAAAACCATAATTAAATTACCAAAAAAAAATTATATCGAAATCCATAATTACACCTGACCATTCATTCACCATTTCTCTTCGAGTACTTTGATTCCTTCTTTTTCTAATTCCTTGATGATAGGATCATTAATCTCCGGACTATAGGGCGCCAAAACTCCTTTTTTACTGATCACACCATCGAGAACCAGTTGTGCAGCAATACCACATGGTATACCAACAGTGGTTGCCATAGCAGAGTAAATTGCCGGGTTCCCGTAGGCTAATAATGTAGAGGTTTGCGTTTCCTAATAAAAAGAATTGTTTATAGATGAAAAATTGCCATAGAAAAAACTTTTTTTTTCACAATAGTTAACTAATAAATTATAAAAATACCTGTGTTCCATCTTTAAGTTCAATCCCAAATTTATGCTGCAGTATCACCATATCACGCTCACCTTCTCCGTATTTCATTTTCTCTTCAAGCGTCGCGCATAATGTGTCAAGTAGTGTTCCTCGACGATCAACTAAATCAGAAGAGAATAGTCCGAGCCATTTAAAGCCATTTAAAATTATCTCAAGATCATCATGCTCTACATTTCCAAATCTTTTGGAACGAATTTCTGCACGAAGATCGCTTTTTGTGGTACGAAACATACAAACTAATTGTTAAAATCATATTCTGATAATCAAGGATCAAAAAATTCAAAAAACCAACTTTTCTTGAATGCTCGAACTACTTAATAGACGTGCTAAAACTTGATTCTATTGAATAAAAAAAAATATAAATCCGTTTTCAATTTTCATACAAAGCGTAATGAAACAGTGAATAGATTATGTATACCCATGAAATATCCTGAGCATCTGGTTGCAAATAATCTTGCTGTGTATCATCCAAAAACCCGATATCAACCAATACTTTAATAAAAGATGGGAATCCCTGAATTTAAAGAAACTATCAATAAGTAAATAAAAAGACATTGAAATATCCATCCAATTACCGTACCTGATATCTTAGCGTACCACGTAAGACCGTTTTCGCTTCAGGAATATTATACCGTTCCTTGAAGGAAGTAGAATCACGGTTTGCATATGCTACAAAAGCGAAGCCCGGGTAAATATGATACGGTTTTGCAGAGTCCATAAGATCAGGTCCATCGATTTCCACAATCTATTTTTCACAACATAATAGTTAAAAAACAACACAATAAATGCGAAACAGATCTATCTATAAACTGTAATGATAATGCAATACCTTGCCATTTTCGTAGTATTTCGCTGAATTTCTTAATGCGAGTAAGACTCCGCGTGATGACCAACTGAACTTGTAACCTAGCGGATTATTAGAGTTTTCTGGGGCAGGAAGACCACCACAGTATGAGATAAATGATAAAATCTGTTTTGATTTTGATATTATTAAGACCAAATGAATTTTATGATACAAACAATCAATCGAAACAAAAAACTTTCTTTACCTTGCCACCCTTTTGATGGACCTCATTAATGGTTTTTATAGCATAAAGATGATCGATTCCTGCAAAAGAATTATATGAAGTTTACTTAGTTTGCCCTAAACTCGTGTTTTTTTTTTTTTAACTCAAACCAATACTTACCAGGATCGAGACCGATTTCGTTCATAATAGTGACACCAGCTTCTTTTGCTCTAATGAAGATGAAGATTAAAATTATACTACTTCTGATTATACTAAAGCATATCATATAAAAACTCTTACGCCTTGTCAAAAGCCTTGATGGCATCAGAAACATAGCTAGTCGTGACAACATTTTTCTTGAACTTGAGAGCCGACTTGATCACCAAAGGATGGAGAGTGTAAGGAATCAAGCTTTGATAGAGATATCAATGATTATCGTCATCATCGTCATAATTTTTACAATAAAAAAGTAGTTTCAATGAGACGACATACTATAATCAGATCTTTCAATACAAAGATCAAATCATAAAAAGAAAGCAATATATAACAATGCGACGCAAATTCAATGCCATTATCAAAAAGAGATGATATCCAGCAAATAACTAAAATCATTTGAAAGATTCTCGATCATATTAAATCTAACAAAAAACACACTAAAGAAATCCAACGCTTACCTGATCACAAGGTCATACTTGGATATTTGATTATCCAAAGCCTCTTCATTTGTCACATCCAAAGTAATTGCTGTAGCGCGCGACCCAAAAGGTCTTGCAAGTGCGCGAGCATGTTCAATATGACGAACAGCTGTTCCTGACAGTTGATTAGACATTGATAATTTTGATGAAAACAAAACGTTTAACTGAAAAGATAACATAGAAGGTTAAAATACCAATTGTCAAGTGGTTTTCTGGACGTCGCAAAATATATTCGGCAGCTGGACCGGCGACAAATCCTGAACCGATCAACAGAATTTTCCTTTATTGCGTATCGTATTAAAAGAGGATTTATAAAATTTATTAATTATTCACGAATTATCAAAGTATCAAAATTAATGATGATACCTTTCAGTGGTCATATTATTTTACGCGTCGAAAAAAAATTTTTTATCAATTTCGAATCGGTGTATATTTATATAGCGATGTTGAAAAGATATGAATTTTCACACGGTTGATCATCGATTGTATGTGGTCATTTGACTTGAATGGGTTTTTAATAATGCTCTCGCAAATTTTATGAATCAATGATTATATAATATAAATAAATATATATACACGATTTATTAAATTAAATTAAATTAAATTAATTAAATTAAATTAAATTAAATCAAATTAAATTAAATTAATTAAGTTAAACTGAATTAAGTTAAATTATGTTAAACTGAATTAAGTTAAAGTCTATTAGGATCTATTTTACACTATATTTCCACGGAGCTCTATATAGAACCAAGAAAATAGTATATACATACTTTAACAATTAAGTTTTCCTTCCAACGCCCATTATTAAATAAGTATTTGCTTTTACAAACGTTAACCATCCCACGAATCACTATTTATTGACACGTTCATGTCTTTCTCCTTTTCCTTATCTTTTTTGTTGTTACTGCTATTATTTCCGGAAGACATCATTATCATAGAGTCAATAGATCGTAGTTCCTCTTTTATTGCGTTTCTTGCTAGCTGATCGATGTCCTTTGTGACCGATGAAATTATTTTCTAAAAACATGCACAATAAAAATTCAATAAAAAATCAGCTTATTGTATTTCTCAAAAAAAAAATAAGAACCTTGAATCTCCCATCAACTTTCGTTACACTCTCGACAAACGACCCAGACCACAAGTTCGCTGTGTCAATCAAGAATTTATGATAAATTTCTACCAGAATATCACATAACGTGTAAAATGTTTGAAAATAATCTAATTCAAAAGGCTAAAATCAATAAATTCGCATTAAATAATGTAATTTTTGGGAAAAATCGATTCGTTGTAAAAGTAAAAAAAAATTCTTACGATATTAGGCACAAACAGATATGTGTACTCGCCACTTTCTTGAAATGACGCGTCTTCATCTTTATTAATTTTTGATTTTCTGAAAAACATTTTCTGATATTGATTCGTTAATTAATATATTAATTTCAATTTCAAAGATGTAAAACAGTTTATTTTACCATCTTTTGTCTCGGATTTTCGTTCGTATGATACTCAAATTCTTGTAACATCACCATTAACGCACGCACATAATCATTCGGATTGGTGTTATCCAATATTGGTGCCAATGATGCGCCAAGGATAAAAAAACCGCCAGTACTAAAGAATAATTAACGCACAAGATCAAAACATGTTAAAAAGTCTACTATCAACATCACTAACAATGTCAAGTCAATATTCTTACCGTCGTTTTCTATCGTCTTTATCCAACGCAACAAAATCTTCTTTCGACAAACACACAGTATTAAACCAGTGTATTCGCCCTTCATGTGCACGCTTCAAGTACTGAAAAGTGAGTATGCGTTTATGCACTAACTCTGTAAAATTCTCGTACGAAGAATGCGGATTAATTCCACTCGCGAGATCTGCAGTCGTTGGAGTCGACGGAAGTGAAGGTGGACGAGGAGCTGGCTGCGGAAATGGCGCGTTTGGAAGAATTGAGGTGGCAGGTGCGTTGTTGCTATTGTTTGTGGATGCTCCGGAACTTGAAGTCGAAATATGAGGAATGGGAGGAGAAACAGCCCTTGGATTCTCCATTATTAAGATCTTTTCCTGGTTTCGAAGTTACCGCAAACATATGTCGAGTCACAAATCAACATCCTGTATGTTTCAGCTCACCCACGATCGATTTTTCCTTCACGTGATTTCTCCGATCCCTGACGATCTCGAAACCAATGAGGATGCGCAAATTTTATCTTTAAAAAGAGGAACTTTTTCCCACATTCTTCGAAACTGTATATACCAAAATGTCTGTTCTTCGCAATGTCATAAAGCTAGACTTGTCTGCTACAGCTTTTTTCATGTGTGATATTCAAGAGAAGTTTCAAAAAATGATACATCAATTCCCTAGTTTAGTTGTTACTGCGAATAAAATGGTAAATTACATTAGAAAAAGTCAATTGCTTTTTGCGAGAAGTTAATTATTTCCTCCTACGTGGGAAATTTTAGATCTCTGCTGCGAAAATACTCGATATTCCGATGGTTGTTACCGAACAGGTAGTGTAACCAATGGTATAGATTTATATGTTCGGGCTTTTATTTCGATAACAGTAGTAGAATTCATTTTCCATTAATTTACTTTAGAATCCAAAAGGTTAAAAAATAATCACTTTAACAACGGTACAATTCAACAAAGAAACATTTCTGATATCAATGATATAATTAGCCTTAGGAAACACAGTTCCGGAACTCGACATTTCCTCCGCAAAGTTAGTATTACCAAAAACAAAATTTTCCATGTTTCTACCGGAAGTAGAGAAACTACTCAAGGAAAAATCGATAAATTCGGTTGTTCTTTTTGGAATCGAAGTATTTAAAAAGTCTATTTATTTAATTATCGCGTTTTACATTGATCCGTTTTACATTTATTCTAAATAATTTTTACCTGCTGACAACTTGAAAAAATAAAGTCACATGTGTGTATACTACAAACGACGCTAGATCTTCTCGAAAATAATTACAATGTGCACGTTCTGGCAGACGGTGTTTCTTCGATGAACAACCCTGAAACTGATATAGCACTAGGCGTAAGTGTATTGATTATCAATCTACCCTTTATTTTGTTTCGATTTTTTTACAAAAAATTCTTGATTTTTGTTACAGCGTATGCGTCAAGCAGGAGCTTTAATAACTAGTTCAGAGTCGGTGCTATTCCAACTTCTCGTAGACTCAAAACACGAGAAGTTTAAGAGTATTTCTAATTTGGTGAAAGAGTACAAAGACGCGACAGCAAATAATAAACTTCTTTATAGATCAATACTTTAAAAAAAAATTGAATTAACGTGTCATCAAACGTTAATGAAATAAATATTACCAAGCAATGTAATTAATCGCGTGATATATCACAAACGAGATATTTTTGCGTAAAATAACAATCCATATTAGATTTAAGTTTCGTGATTTTGGCGCGTAACGGTAAACAATCATCAAAAACGTGTTATTTGTGATGTTATTTGACTTGCAGAAATGTCTCGATTTCCTCACTCTTCGAATTAATCTACAAAATGTTTTTTTTAGATATCAAATACTTAATTCAATAAATATATATTTTAATTTATAACCCGATGAGTCAAAGATATTACACTAATATTACATGCGTATAGTCAATATATGATAATTAATATAAATTGCTAGCTTCTTTATGGCACTCCGGGCACCGGAAAAACCGAGTTTGTGAAGGAATCAAGTCGGGTGCTACTGGAACGCTATGGTCAAGAATCTGAAAAACTCGAAGAACATAATGACCCAAGGGATCCCAACTCGGGCTTGTAATAATAAACTTTTTATGCCAGAGAAACTCGAGATCCACGCGTTAATTACCCCTATAATAAGAATGAAGATAATAATAATAATAATAGCCAACACCAAACGTCGTAACCCCAGTAACCAAGACACCAAGACCGGTTGGAGTTCCACAAATCCACCACAATGCGCCAGCAATCTTTTCAAAAACCTCCCCGATTTGTCTTTTCACTTTATACCAGGGGTCAATCTTGAAGGGTGATTCAAAGATTCTTTTTTGCTGATCTGGGTTTAGTGTTGTCACTGTGAATAATGCAGAGACTGGTTTATGATCGGATAATGTGTACTGTGGGTGAGAAATATAATTTTCAAGTTTGATTAAAGATCGATTTTCTTTTAATGCTGTTGATCCCTTTAATCCTGTAGAAGTTGACCCTTCTGCTGGTGTTATGTAATCTTCGACCACAGCATTACTTCTAGTAGCTTTGACTTCGTTATTTTCACGATGCCAAAAATATAAGATTCTATCACACCATCCTGGAATTCTTAATTCCGTGTTGTATTCATTACTGCCCGTATGAAATTTGTATGTCGGCGCAAAACTCAATTGACCTTCTTCAAATCCATGTAATGTGCTGCCTGTTGTTCTTGCTATGGAAAGTTGATCATAATGAGAAAGACGGTGATGTTGTCGTTCTCGTAACGTGTTTACTAAAGAGACAAGAGTGATCGGTGGGTGTGTTGGATGTTCTAGAGATATTCGATAATTTAGATCACCGAAAAAGAATAAATAATCACTGTCATATATGTTGTAGTGATTTTTTCGGTTTATTTCCGAATCGGTTTCTTTTGTTGAAGTTGTTGAAGAAAGTTCTTGATCTTCATTCCCTTTGGGAAATAGTAGACGTTCACATACACGTCTAAAATGTGTATTCCTCAGATGTACATTATGATTATGCGCCGCCAAATGAGCACATACAAAACATAAAGAGACACCTCTTTTATCATCGCTGTCCTCTCGAGGTGACCCAAGTTCTAAAAAAGCCGCCACGGCCCCTTTGTTTCCCATCCAAAAAGGCCCAACTCCCGCCTTTTCTGTCTTGACCTGTTTCACGTGTTTCACTACAGTCGAGTCACGAACATAGACAAATAACGACAAGCCAACCATGCATTCTTCAACTATTTGAGTATAACTTTCGTGGGTGCATTCTATAATTGCTTGCTCTATAAGTTCTGCATAGTCTTGAAGTCGTGTAGTGTTTCTGTTTAGAAACGCGTATGGATAAGGTGAAAATTCTTGAAACCCAATTGCTAGGATATCTGGCTTGTCGATAATTGTAGAGGAGGAATCATTGTTGAGCGAGAAAAGCCAATCTTTTAGGGGTTGGTTGATAAGCTGTTGATTTATGTTGTATGTGCCAACCAGTATTTCGAGTTTTTGCGGTAAAGACATTGTTGAAAATTGTTGACTAACCAAAAAAAACAATTTCGGTAAGGATCATTTATGTTGCTCATTCTTTAATATGAACTCATAATACAAACGATGGCTTCTTTGCAAACTCGGATAACATACCTCAAGAGCCTTCCAGCAGTTAGGGAACGCTCGCAAAAGGTTTTTGAAAAAGCCAAAGCAAACCAACTTCACCATTTCGAGGTGAACTTCCCAAAACTCGACAATGCAGTTGACCTCGTAATCTCGTTGATTAGACGTGACTATGCTGATTTGAGCAGCATTCCTCCTCACAGTCGTTGGCGTCATTTTGATGTTGGTGGACATTCGCGTGTACAACGACTAATTGATAGTTGGGAAAGTAGTGGCAAATTGGAAATTACACGACGCATTTTAGATTTATTTGTAGTTTCGGTGTTATTAGACGCAGGGGCGGGAAATGCATGGTCGTACCGTGAAAAGGAAACTGGTCAAATATATAAAAGATCCGAGGGACTTGCCATTGCTTCGTTAGATATGTTTAATGCTGGATTATTCTCAAGTGATAAGTCTCAACCACATCGTGTTGATGGTAAATGTTATTATCAGATACCTTTAAATTCAATACAATTCATATATTTTTTAATCTAATGTCTGTAAACATATGAATTCGATCTTACAGCACGAAAATTAGTAGATATAACTGTTGATGATGTCGCCAAAGCATTTCAAGTGAACGAGACTACGAATCCTTTGGATGGTCTTGAAGGACGCGCTAATTTATTGAGCCGATTAGGTAAATCTCTAGATAACCACCCCGAATTCTTTAAGTCTGACGATAAATCGGTAATTATAAAGAATGGATATAAAGAATTGAGCTACTCTATCATTAATTACCTAACGCAAAAGATGAAATTATAAGGCACCAAGACCCGGTAATCTAGTAGACTATTTATTAGCACATCCCACCACTAAATCCAGTTCAATCGTGCAAATTGATACACTATGGTCTGTTATAATCGATGGTCTCTCTGATGTATGGCCTCCAACGCGTACTTCCTTGGGTGGTGTATCGCTTGGCGACGTATGGCCTTGCGATGTTCTGAAATCATCTTCAAAAGATTCACAGGGTGATGATGATGCAAACGAACATTTAGTGCCATTTCATAAACTCTCACAGTGGCTCACTCATTCTCTTATGGAACCAATGACCAAAATTCTCGATATCAAATTTGAAGGAATAAAAAATTTAACGGGATTACCGGAATATCGAAATGGTACGTTCTGATACTTAGAATGACTATATCAAATAATCAGAAAATATTTCAAGATCCCAATTGATAAGCGGTAATCATCTATCATTTATCCCGCGTTATTTATTCTCTCACTAGCCTTCAATTCAATGAATTGTTTTCACTGTGTTAATCCAAGAGTTCATCGATTATGGATTTATTTTCAACCTAGGCGGTCTTTTTGTGGACACCGGTTTACTGACTCTCAAGGAGCCGGATCGAGCGCGTGGGATTTCCTATTTCAAACAAAATTACCGGGAATCAAATGATGACACCGAAATTGTTCCTCTATTTGAAGCAAGCGATCCTGTTATCGTTGAATGGCGAGCAATGACTGTCATTCTATTGGATAAGGTCGCTGAGAAAATCAGAGAAATTCTTGCCGAAAATTTAACACTCGCGCAAGTTCTTGAGGCTGGTACTTGGAAAGTATGTCAAAGAATTTTAATTGGGAATTTTCGACAAATCCAAACCTAGTATAAAGATTAATTTTTTCGCGCATAAAATCCTTCTAGGCTGGTAGGGAAATTGCACAAAAACTGAGGCCTAAAACCAAAGGTCCGCCAATTGCCATCAAATCTGATGGAACTGTTTTTTAGAGGCAATGAAATGGAATCCAGTTAATGGAATCTAGCCAAAAATTTATATTGACTAATGCATGTAATATTAATGTAATAACTTTGATTCATCGAATTTAAATTAAAATGATTCAAAAATATACATTTATTGAATCAAGTATTTGACATTTACACTGGGATGAGTGCGATATCTCCGAGTGAGGGAAATTGCAAGCCATAACATAACACGTTTCTTGTTAAAGAATTACCTTTGCTTTTTCAAGAATATTTTTTGACATTCCATGGAGGTTATCTAACACAGCCCTTTTTAATTTTTTAACTTTACTTGCAAATGACACGCTAAATTTCACTATCTGACCAAATATACACGGGGAGAAACTTAATAAAAGGTACCTCAAAAACTCCGAATTAGAAAGATTTATTAGAAAACGAATTAGAATTATTAGAAATAGTGTCTATAAATTTGCTAAAGAAAATAAAACTTTTCGGTTTTTTTTATTAACTTCTTTTCGGAATCGATATTATCAGAATACATAAATTAAATTCAATTCCTTGATAATTTTCTTTTTCTTATTTCTTCCTCCATTGTTTACTACAATTTATCTTTTCAGACTTAAGCTTTATTTATACTTTTTTACAATCTTATTTTTAAAGTTATTATACATAATATAAAATAAGAATTTTTTTTTAAAAAAAAAGGTTGGTACTATTATAGCTTTTTAAAGACATGGAAAGATATTTGAAATACCAAAAATAATGAAGAAATCGATATATCCTTCGAGTTTAGGCATGCGGGTACATGAAGTAGCTGATGAAAGTAATAAAAAAGGAAAATTTAAATTGAGAATAACTCAACTCAGCATTTGGTCTTTACAATCATCATTATCGATTTCGTAAAAAAGGAGGTGCAAGGTAGCCGTCTCGTCTGGATAGTCACTTTTCAAGTAACGCGTGTCATGTAGCGCGTGTTTATGTTGATTTTAGCGTTAGGGTTTTTAATTAGTGCTCCAAGATACATTCGGGTTGATAAAAAATGTACGCATTCTTATTGGCTCGCATCCCCACCCTTTTTAAGGCTTTGAGCAGAATTTGCAATATACCCGAGGTACTGTGGCCCATGATATACAGTACTGCGCCATAGTCCGAAATTAATTTTCACCTACCCAGATAGATGTTCATTCAAATCGCGTAATAGATGATAAGACGAATGGCTACTCAACAACGCGCTCCCGAACTAATTCTGCACTCGCTACTCGTTAATTACTTATCAAAAGAGGACAGTATAGAGCCTAACATTCCATTTCTTCTGGAAACTATAACTTTCCACCAACTTTTAAGTAGTGGTGGTGGTAGTTCTGGTAGTGGAAAAAGCGACTCCAATAACAATAGTGCCGAGAAAATAAATCCACCACTACACAAATGGTGCACACGAGTGAATTCCCTACTCTCGTCAAAAACACAGAGCGCCAGGTGGGCCGGCGTATGTTTTGTTAAAGTTTCGATAGAGCAGTCCTGGTTGCTGTTTACAGAAAACTTTAGTCTATGGAGTACAACATTATTGAGTTTGCTTGTGGTTTGTTAGTTGTTTTTTGATTTTCTAATTGATCAATTTTGGGGTTTTTACATTTAATTAATAAATTTGACAAATAACAATTAATGTTAGAGACCTGAACCAGTAACCACATTAAAAGTAATCATATCAACTTTATCAGAAATGTTTTCAAAAACCGTTGATAGACTGGAATTACAGCGAGAAGTAACCTCACAACTATTACCCCGATTTAATTCGTGTCTAATAAATCTATCAGGAACTAAAGATCTTCTGGTACTTGGGTCTTTTCTCCTCATTATATTATAAATCAAATAGAAATCAATTCGTTATTTAATTATTTATTATTATTTATATTATTATTATTAGCCTGTTATATTCAATGAATTAACGAGATCTGTACAGCGGTTTCCCTCAATGTTTCGTCCCATTCTACAAAACGCGCAAAACTTATGTCTTTCTGTATTCGATAATAATGATGAGAATTATGATTCTGATTCTGAGGTCGTGAAAAAAGCGGCAAAATGTTTTGCGAATATTTGTAATGCTGGTGGCAAGATTGGTGCTTCTGAACAATGGCGGCTGTCGTTGATTTGGTTGGTGGGGTCCACTCATGTAATTTTAGATCGGTTATTTGATACGGTGGATGAAGGTTTGTTTGCGTAATTCTCTTTGAAGATGAAAAATATATTTTTTAGTTAGGATCTGTTTATCTATTGATAGAAAATAAATTTGCTAAAAAACAGCAGCCGCAGCCGCCAGGTCAACATCAATTTGAGTTTCCTAAAGTCACGGATGATTATATTGTTGGATTCCCTATTTTGTTCAAAAGATTTAGAATTCTTTGTCAATTCATTGTATCTATGCTAAGGTAAGTTTTCAATGATTAATAAAATAAATAAAAGAATTTTGTGTTTAATTGAGCTATTTTCCCATAATAAGAAATCTCAGTTCTACTAATTTAGCGAGTGTTCAAGTACCCGTTAATCTTTTTATGGAATTGATATGTAGAGTGTGTAATGTTTGTGATGGCGTGATTGTTAGTTTTCTTTTTATTAGTTATGATGTTCTTTGAAAAATCTTATTCATAAATATTCGTGGTATTAATAAAATGCGATTTTATTTCGACCCTATTTATAGGGATCGGATCACAAGGATAAAAATGAATTTTCCACACTTTTAATTGGACTTCCTGCGCTTCATTTGGCAATCAATAGAGTGCTTGGAAGTTTAATTCTATGGTAATTTCTCGTTTCTATTTTGAATTTTCACATACAAGCTTTGTTAGTATTTAACAAGATACTAATGGTACACATTATTTTACTGAAAGCGTTGGTGATCACTTAATACGTTACTTTAAACTGATGTCGGAGATCCTGTTTAGACTTTTAAGTCATTACAAGAAACAATAGTGAGTATCGTGCATTTTTACTATTTTTATATATTTATATTATTTGGATGAATTTTTGTATATCCATCCTCTAAATTTGTATATTTATTTTTATATATTAGTTTGGTGCGAGCATCAATTTACAATTTATTTAATCTATGTATTCAAAAGTATCGAAATGGATTTCTTTTATCATCCTCCTCTGCATCATCATTGATTTTCAATATCATTGAAGATCTTACTATAAATGAGATTACTGCTACCAAAATCGATAGTAATAATGCTGAAGCAGTGAATAGTATTGTAGGTATTCCTTTTTTTGAGCAAGAAAAATTCGCTCTTAATTTTGAATTCATTTATTTAATATAATAGAAAGGTAGCAGCAAGAAGAAAAAATCACGAATCACGAATTCTGATACAATGATTATTGGCGCACAAACTGTGCTCGAGCAGTCGAATATAGATTTGCAAATAGCTGCACTTGAAGGTAACTAAGAAACTTTCATCCAATTTCCTAACTATACACATACTAAAAAAATCCAATTTTTATAGTTCTCAAAACGTCACTCTCCACAACCGGCGGTTCTTCAATTCCCCCAACCTCTCGAACACTACTCGACAACCTACTCCTATCCCGAATCCTCGACAATAACATCAAGACCAAAACAAACGCCAAAATTAAATTAAAATTATACGAATGTTTATTGGCATCGATTATCGCACCTTCAGAGTATCAAGCAAATATCCTTCCATACGCGTTAAGAATCTACAAGTCGGGATTTAATGATGATTGTTTTGAGGTTTGAGTTCTTGTGTTTGTTGTTATATTTACTTTATTAAATTTTTAATCTTTTGAACGATGATTTATTCTTATAGATACAATCTTTTTGTTCATATGCTTTGACGATATGTGATTTAATCTATCATAGTAGATTACCGCCGATACAAAGATCTGTTCCGTCTACACGTCTGTTCGATAAACCGTCGTCAAATTTAAAAGTATCTTCTGATTTGGAAAGCTTGGGAATTAATAATAAGAGTAACGAGATCACTAACGAGAAGACAGAGAAACACAAACAAAACACTGCTATAGCAACAAATTCGTCATCAATCGAAATTACATCAAATATACAACAATTATCCCAATGGGGGGGACAGCAATCTTCCAGCGAATCAAAACTACCAGATATTAGTATAGGTGAATCGCGGAAACAAGACAATCCTGTGTCACTTGTTGAGACATTATCACTACCAGAACAACCACATTTGGTAGATTTCTTTGCTGAAAAAGTATCATCAAATGTATCGATACAAGTCGAGTCGAGTTTCGAGACACAAAATGTAAATATTATTTTTTGGGGGTTTTTTTTATATTTAATTTATTTTATATATACATTTTTTTTAGATAACAAATGAAGTGTCGTCATCAGCACCATCAACTAACGATACAACTAGCAATACAAATACTACCAAACCATCTTCTGAAAAAAAAAGATTATTTCCTTCAGAATTTGAAGATGCTTCTCAACAACGATTCAAGACGTATCGTGATGATAATCATGATGATGATGATGACGACGACGACAATGAAGACATACCTGAAATTGTGGATGAAGGACCAGATTCAGAATATGAAAATAACGATTCTATGTCTGAATGAACACAGTTTGGTTATACAGCGAGTTATTTCAATCTTTCTGAATAGTTTCTTACTAAAAATACTATCGCTATAAGACATATTGATAAGTATTAAAGACGTTTTTAGAAAGACACAATGGAACTATGATGTAATGTAGAAATTAATAGGGGTAAAACGCGTGAATCGCGTGCATCATCAATTGCTCCTGTTCCTCCTTTGTGATACGTGATTTAGTGCTACTTTTTAAAAAAATAAATTCATTCAACACTGATTTACTAACGAACGGAATACCCATATACAAATTTATTCTACGAGAAAAAAATAATACAAATTTCTAATAATGTCAAAATCACGTCCAGTTGTTCCTCCAAAACCTGCGCGTCTTTCAATCAACAATTCAAAAAAAAACGAACATAACGATGACTCTCTTACAAATTCTCGAGGGTCAGAGTTACAAATTTGTGACTCTCCAAGGACAGAATCCCCTGTAAGCTCTAGTCCGAAAACACCCACCAACGGAGAAGAGACCACACCCATCAACACGAACAAGTCAAATGACGAGCAGTTACTCTCGCCAACCTTGTCTGGACGTCAGGCGAGAGCTCTCTACGATTTCGAGGGGATACCGTCGTATCGTGAACTTTCTTTTCGTGCGGGAGACGTACTGACAGTATTGAAGCAACAGCTGGCGGAAGGCTGGTCTTTAGGCCAAAAAGACGGAATAACTGGTCTAATTCCAGAGGCTTATATTACTTATATTAATGATTTTACGGAACTACCTAATGCAACACTGGAAAAAACTTCTTTTCAACCTAGTAATCTCAGTAATAATTCACCCCTACCAACGCCCACGCCACTTACTCCCATGACAGGTACATATAATAGTTTACTAAGAGGACGCCAGTTAAATAGGTTTAGCTGGTTCGTCACTATCGGAGTCGAAGAATTTATATTGAACGGTGGCTTGAACAATAATAATGACACCTCGCGTCTGGAAGAAGTAAGGGAGAATGATCAAGAGGAGAATGATGAAATAACCGAATCTGATAAACATTACATTCAGAGTGGTCCTAGCTGGCGGGAGAAAGCTCCACTGTTCAAAGTTATGGTCCATAGTCCGGAAAAAAGAGTTAAATTGGGAGGAATGCAAGAGTATACCATTTTTTATGTTACTTCTATGGTATATTTATTATCATTCGTTGATTGTTCATTATATTGAGCTTCGTTTGATTATATATATTAATTCTTCATCCTTTGGTTCTTTTCCTTTAGTTTTCTGAAGGAACCCAAGTCACCGTAGAAAGAAGATTTTCTCAATTTGAATGGTTACATGATAGATTATCGATTAAATTCGGACCTCTAGTTATACCACCACTTCCAGAAAAACAATATTCAGGTCATTACTCGGAATTAATGAATCAACTCTATAAAAAATCTACATTGAAATTTTAAATGTTAATATAAGTTTTTTTATTAGGCCGATTCAATGAAGAATTTATAGAAAAACGTCGTCGCGCATTAGAGAGTTTTATCAATCGTTTGGCACGTCATCCTGTAATAAGATATTCTGACCTTTTGACACATTTCCTAAGTTGTGAAGATGATTCGGTATGTGTTTTATCTATTTGTAGATATATAATAACAATAGTTGCAAAAAGGTTTTGATGCTTAATTATCTCATGAAAAAAAAAACTATTCATAGGAATGGCGTAAACGCGAAAAATTATTTGATTCTGATAAAATAATAGGCCAAGTATTTTTCCAACATGTTTATCATCCAGAGTTCAATATCGATGATGGGTACGTAGTTTTATTATGCTCCTCTTAATTACATATTTTTTTCTTGGTGGTTTCATAACATCACATTATTATAGAGATATTGAAACATTTGAACGATTCGAAGCTTTTACGCGTGGAATGGAAAAATTAATGCCGTATGTTAATGAAGCGACAACTGCACATAAAGATTCTATGAGTGGTAAAAATCGTGATTATTTCACTATAGCGATAAATAAATAATTAATTAATTAACTCACTATTGTAAAAAAAAAATAGAATCTCAACGACAATATCGTCGTGTTGGTTTCGATTTACTACGCCTTATTACTGGTCATAATGCAGGAGATGGAAACGAATGCACAAATGAAGAGGGTGCTTGGTGTTGGCGAGACGGATGTCAAAGTTGTCAAAATCTTACTAAAGCGATGCAGGCCACCGCTGAAAGTATGCAAACTATAGGGGACTTGTATAATTCTTATGTAAGGAATATTTCTCGATCTCTTTTTTTTTATGCGTGTTGAATTGCTTTAATTAATTAATTTGATCCTGTATTTTGTGCGTAGACAAAAGATGAATGTGCCGCGCTCATAGAAAATCTCAAAGATTATAATCACCCCGTTAGTAATTATGAGGTAATTAGTTTATTATCTTACAATTATCTTGAAATTTGAATAATTATATTACATTTATAAAATTGAATAATTATATTACATTTATAAATATAAACTATCAAAAAATATAGGCACTAGTAGATACACACATGGGAACATATAAGAAATTTAAAGAAGTTGCAACCACAGATAATGACGAGGCACCGAAAACAGAAGTAAATTAAATTTATTGCCTTATTATATTTATAAAACTTGGTTTAATATCGTATTCTTTATCAAAATAACAGAATCCAGATTCTGAAGAAATTCGTTCGCGTTGTGAGACGGTATTCAATGTGACACTTGCTGAAGTAGATCGAATTCATGATGAACGAGTAACCGATTTCAAAGACATCACCAAAAAATTTTTAGATGGACAAATCGAGTTATATGGAAAGGTAAATACTATTTGTTATTCTATACAGTCCTCTATACTCAACATTATTATAATTATCAGATACTCGAAGAACTTCGACAAGCACGATCAAACTTTGATGATCCACACTACTCCTCCCTCTCGCAAACACCAATCTCACCCAGTAAATACGAAGCACACATCGACGACCAAAGACCACTTATATCGCGCCCGGTGTCTGTTGCATCCGTCGGATCAATGTCGAGCGTAGTTGGTGGGGTGGTTGATGGGGTTGGAAGTATGGGAAGTTTCTTGTTGAAAAAAACTGCGAGAACTTCACTGGGTCGCGTTACTTCCACGTCGTCGTCAATGTTTGATATATGGTGGGGTAGAAGCTGAAATTGTATAGTTTTTTTTTTTTATAATAATTTGTATAGTTTTTGTATTGTAGTATCAAATAACATACTCTTGTTTCTTGTATATATTATTGTATCGCATTTTATATTTCTTAGTAATTTGTAATCATAATTTTGATGGTTTATTATTTATTAGTCATTCTAGTTTGGTACATCGAATTATTTATATGTAGCGTAATAAAGGATTGTGTGACAAACGAATTCTCTCCTTAAAATATTATGAACTCCCTCTTCGAAGTTAAAAATAGTTTAATTACACAAGTAATTTTTTGATTACGGTAACGAACGTATAATAAATACAAATACTTGATATGACATAGATACTTGAGGATTATTCAGCCAAAGCATTTTTCGTAAACTGTGGCAACGCAAAAGCCGCCTCATGCACTTCCGCATTATAATACCGAAACAACTTTGCCTCTTGCTCCGGAGTGAATCGGCGTATCGGTTTTCGAAGATTACGTCCTTCTTCGATGCAACAGACCGTGAATCCGATTTGGCCCGATGGGTAAGTTGGGATTGTGGTGAATGCGTATTCGACAACTGGGAATAGTGAGCGACAGTATGTTTGTACTTCTTTGATGAGTGAAAGATGAAGCCATTGACATTCACCTTTTTTTTTAGTTAGATATCTTGTTAGTTTTATCGGAGAAACTTTTAATGCACACTACTATTAGTCATTGAATGAAGTTTGATTTATTTACCTTGAGTTGAGATAATTCCACCAGGTCGTAAAGCATTGCGCATTAATTCAAAGTATTTCACTTGGAATAGTGACTCGGCAGGTCCTATATTGAAAAATACATTAATAGTCTCGCATTTTTTCCCCGAAAAAAAAATCAAGATCAAAAAAGTCTTACCAACTGGATCCGAAGCATCAGTTATAATAACATCAAATGATTTTACTTTATCTGCTAAGAACGGAAAGCCGTCACCAATAAACACTTTAACTTTGTCATGATTGAATCCAACTGCCATTCCTGGTAAATGTTTTTTAGAGACGCGAATAACTGCCTGATGTCGGATTTTATACATTCGAGATTCAAACATATAGAGATATAGGAAAGTTTAGATTCGGATTCGTGATTAGTAATAAAATTATCATTTCCACTTCTGTAACTTACCTCATCAATATCACACAGTGTTACTTCTTCAACAGATTCGTGTTTAATGACTTCACGTAGTACTCCACCATCTCCACCACCTATCACTAATACCTATATCATCTGACATTACTTTTATGATAGATTTATATATAAATCAATAATGTATTCCTTTCGCAACAAATACCTTACGCGGATCTGGATGAGAATTCAACGCTAGATGCGTAATCATTTCTTGATAACTAAAAAATAAAGAAAACAAGAATAAAAAAAATCACTAATTTCATTAACTCAAAAATAACCACTTACGAAAATTCATCACGCTCAGTACACTGAATTACACCATCCAAAACCAAAACAGTGCCATAAGTCTCGGATTTGAACACCAATACATCCTGATACAATGATTTTTCAACGTGCAGAATTTCCTTGACTTTTAAGCACATGGCTTGGATGATTCGTCAAATGATTGGCAACAAGACATTAGATTATTGAATAATCAGATATCGGAGTTTTCATTATGTGAACTTGATGTATAAATATGTACCTTGCCCAGGCCAAAGCGTCTCTTTCTCACGAAACCATCCATCTGTAAAATTATAAAATCGATTGTGATACAATAAAAAAAGAATCGATTTCATAACATTCTTTTGGCCACATCACGATTTGTGTCTTAAAATTACCATTGATTTGCGGATGATTCAGTGATTCCGTCATATTTATTAACTTGTTAAATATAAAAAATATTGAACAAAGATTATCAAGATCGGAACATGCAAGTGGTAAATAAAGCCAACTTGATTAGGTATGATCGACGAACAATGAAAAACCGAAACCCGAATTTACTAATTAACTAGAAAGCACGCGAATTTAGAGCTTTTCCCAATTTGGCCAAAGTTATAAAGCCAGCTTAATATTAAACTTTAGACAGTTTTCTGACTACGCCATGCTCAAGAATTTTCGGACGAAGTCTATATCACAGCAAAAAGGTCGCTGGAGCGATCATGCGCCTCAGCATGTTGCTATTTTAGCTTGTGATGTCATTATATGTCTTGGTAATTAATTTAGGAGAACAATTTGACTTATATAAGAGCTTAGGCGGAAATTGCGAGGAGGTATGTGCTTACAAAGAAAACGTTGATAATAAAAATAATTCTAGTAAGGCGGCTGGAGACCATCCCAATCACCACAAAAAAGAAAGGTGGCTGAAGACCATCCCAATCACCACAAAAAAGAAAATTTGAAGATACAAACTTTGGTGAAACTACGGTGTTTGTTCTGGATATTCTCGAAGAAACAGAAAAAGTTAGCGTTAAGGAAGACGAACACATGACAGTGTGCGAATTTGATGTTCGACGTTGCAAGTATTGGATAAGTTGAAACTTTTACCATGTGAAGAATAACACAAATGCTACCTGATATAGTCTTGTTAATTGAAGCTACTTGTAAAATTGGTCGAATTTTATTGGACATTCTGATTGTTACACTAGATCATAAAATATTAATCGTATGATTTTTTATCATGGAAATTACAACAATGTCTTTAGTTGATGGCCTTTCACATTTCGTGCTCGCAGCACCAGACTCTGGTCTATTTGAACAATGTGTAGCGTTTTATACTTCATTGGGCTTTGAGACTGTTGTTAATAACAGTAGCAATATTAAAATTCATGGCAAATATGGCAGCTATACTCCAGAATGCGTATCCTCGCAAGAAACATGGTTGCATTTATTTGGAAAAGAAGCTGCACCTGATATTACTATAAAATTGATTTTATCGCCAAATGCTGTGGTAAAAGAGGAGATTCCTGTAGAAAATAATGATGATTGGAGGGAACGCAATGTGTGTTTTGTTGCTGTGTCGCAAAATATTGCTGTACGTATTATTTCTATATAAAATTTCTTGGATTGAAAGTGTAGAAAATCGGTCTGAATTAGAATGATAAATGCATTTATTCTGAATTTTGTGATCCGATCTGTTTTCTATAAGAACATAAGATACTGCTCTTTCGTCTATTCGCTAATGTTAAACATTTTTTTTTTTTACTTTGTCAATTAAAAGGTTCTCGAATCAACTCTAAAATCCAAAAATTATTTGCACCAAAAATTCACACATCCAGACATTAATCCATTTGATCCACTTGCTTCACTTCCCGAGGTTAAACTCACTCATACCGTGCTATACACACATGATCCACTAAATAATCTGATTGGTTTCACTAATAAGCTGAATCCGTATAGTAAGCGTGTCTACGCAAACCAACAACAGCCTGAAGTAGCGATTCCTTTAAAGGCTGACGGAACTGAATCAGCTAGTGGTAAACGACGAAAAAGAATTGGAGTATTGACTAGTGGTGGTGATTCGCCTGGAATGAATGCAGTTGTTCGTGCGATTGTAAGAGTAGCCATTTCGCGTGAATGTGATGCATATGCTATATTTGAAGGATTTGAAGGTAGAAAATATTAAATGTTTTCGTCTTTTTCTTTAACTGTATATTTTTGTCTTTTAATAATGCAATTCTAATTGCTTTGGATTATTGAATAATTTTTAGGGTTGGTGCAGGGCGGAAATTTGATTAGAAAATTTGGTTGGGGTGATGTGAGAGGTTATCTGGCTATTGTGAGTTGAGAATGAATCGGTGGGTTACCTGTGAGAGTGTGAGAGAGCGAGAAAATCAGTGTTTTTTTATAGATTTATCTTAATTTTTATCAAATTATTATCAGGGTGGTACTCTTATAGGAACTGCACGATGCAACGCTTTTCGTACTCGAGAGGGCCGATTAAAGGCAGCATGCAATTTAGTAAAAAATGGAATTGACGCTCTTATTGTATGTGGCGGTGATGGTTCTTTGACCGGCGCGGATACATTAAGGTCTGAATGGTCTGGTTTGATAGAAGAATTGGTTAAAGAAGGTTTGTAAAATGATATTGATATGAAATAATATAAAATTGAAATTCATTTAATTATATTAATTAATAGGACAATTGACACAGAAAGAGGTAACACCCTTCACTCACCTTATAATAGTGGGGATGGTTGGCTCTATTGACAATGACATGTCATCAACAGACCTTACAATCGGGGCAGTAACATCATTACATCGTATTTGTGAAGCTGTTGATAGCATCTCTTCGACAGCTTTAAGTCATTCGCGTGCTTTTGTTATTGAAGTAATGGGCAGATATTGTGGATGGTTGGCTTTGATGGCTGCTGTCAGGTATGATCAATTGAAGAATAAAATTCTCGAAATAAATTCTTGTATTTCGCTCAATCTTTTTCCATAAATACTTAGTACTGGCGCAGATTTTGTCTTTATTCCAGAACGTCCTCCATCTACTGACGATTGGGAATCTGAAATGTGTGAGGTTTTAGGACGGGTAAGAAAATATGACATAATATAACAGATTTGTTATTTGCTATTTGTAATTAAAGTAACACTTGTTTTCTAGTATCGTAAACTTGGTAAACGTAAAACCATTGTTATCGTCGCAGAAGGAGCAATCGATAAACATCTTAACCCTATCAAGGCGAACTATATCAAAGAACTATTAATTAATCGTATGGGATTAGATACTCGTGTCACTTGTTTGGGTCACATACAGAGAGGAGGCAGTCCTTGTGCCTATGACAGAAATTTAGTAAGAAAATTATAACAAATTTAAAACATCTTGTTACTTGAAGCATAAATTCTTGAATGATGATTTTAATAAATAGGCTACAAGTCAAGGAGTTGAGGCCGTTGAAGCTGTTCTTGAATCTACTCCAGACACACCTTCCCCAATGATTGGTATCCGGGAAAATAAAATCACTCGTCAACCATTAATGAAGGCCGTTCAATTAGTAAGCTTTTTTCTAGTGGGTACTATATTGCTATTAAGAACCAACTTCTAACCATTTCTTCGATTGTTTATTTAGACTCAACAAGTTGCTATTGCTATTAGCGAAAAAGATTTTAGACGGGCAATGGAATTACGCGATCCTGAATTTGCAGATGATTACGATGCGTACATTGCTACTACTACAGTAGATGATTATTCTATGCTTTTACCAGAACATCAGGTTTTGTTATCTTTTTAATAAGATATTGAGTAAAATTTTTAAAATATTAAAACATCATTTCTCTTTTAGCGTCTTCGCATTGGTATTATTCATATTGGTGCTCCAGCTGGAGGAATGAATCAAGCAACCCGTGCAGCCGTACGATTTGCTTTAAATCGTGGTCACATCACATTGGCTATACAAAATGGATTTCCCGGACTTTTAGACGACAATGTACATGAACTCTCATGGATCGATGTCGATGGTTGGGCGGCGAAAGGTGGCTCAGAATTGGGCACAAATCGAACAGAACCAGATATCGATCTGGGAATGATCGCGTACAAATTTCAAAAGCACAGAATTAATGCATTACTTTTGATTGGTGGATTCGAGGCGTACGCATCTCTCGTTATGTTAAATGCTGCACGAGACAAGTACCCAGCATTCTGCATACCGATGGTGTGTTTACCAGCAACTATCTCAAATAACGTACCAGGAACTGATTTTTCATTGGGTTGTGACACATCATTGAATGTTATTGTTGAGAGTTGTGATGCTATTAAACAATCTGCATCAGCGTCCAGACGAAGGGTTTTTGTGGTGGAAGTACAAGGTGGAAATTGTGGATACCTTGCCGTATTAGCTGGGCTTGCGGTATATTTAATTTTCTTTGCTTATTTATTTTTTTATTTATTTTCTAAAAAGATGCGCATTTTTCTAGGTTGGAGCCACAAGTACATACATACCTGAAGAAGGAGTATCATTAAAAACTTTACAGGCAGATATCAATCATTTAACACGTCGATTTGGTGAAGATAAAAAACGCACTAGTTCAGGACGTTTAATTCTAAGGTAGGAAAAAGCATAATAATGAATTACTCGCGTGAAATTTTTTTCTCCCACTAAAACTTAACCTTCGCTTCGCTTCTCACACATCAGAAATGAACGTGTTTCCGATACATACACAACAAGCTTAACAGCCGACATCATTCAAACAGAAGGTCGAGGATTATTTGATTGTCGAACATGCGTGCTTGGACATACTCAACAAGGATCCTCACCTTCACCACTTGACCGAATACGCGCAGTAAGACTTGCCGTGAAATGCATAAACTTTTTAGAGAACCACGCGTTGAGTTCATTGGTACTAAATGAAACTAGCAGTACGCGTCCAAAGATATTTAATAATCAGAAAGAATCTGCAGCGGTGATTGGTATTCTTGGTGCACATGTTGCTTTTAATGTAAGTGATCTATTTTTTTAAATGTTCTATTATAGCAGCGGCTGTATTAACGCAAATTTCAATTTTTTCATACATTTAGCCGATAGTTGACTTAATACAAGATACTGATATGAAGAATCGTGTCAGTAAGAAAGCCTGGTGGATTGATCTTAAAAATTTAGTGGAACTCTTATCTAAATGGGGTAAGTTTTGGTTAATTTTCTTAGCCACTTTTTTAAACAAAATAACTTATACTTATTTCACGTCGTAATTTATAGGATACACAGAAGATCACTCTAAATAAATTTATTAGAAGATCATTGTTAATTATTATAATTATTAAATTAATTCTTTGTTTATTTATTCAGTAGTTATCTTTTAAATTTAAAGAGCTAGTTGTTGACTTCATATTTTTGGAATTACAATATAATTCGATTGTGAAATCATTTACATCAAATTAGTGTAGTTTAAGGAACTTGCATTATACACGACCGGGAGACAGACAAATAAAGAGGAGCAGGATGACAAGTTTGATTATGCTAATATTACTTGGGGGAGAAGAGTATGACAAGCCAAGTTTAATTGTTTTTAGAGTTTTGCGACCAAGAATAATATTTCAGTGGTCATTTTCTCGATAAAATAAAAATAATTGTCCAATTTCTTTTGTGAAAAAGAAAGATTCTACTTTTATAATATAAATATTATATAGTATATAATTGTGTTTTCTATTATCTAACTTACAATCTAAGATTTATTCGCCATCCTGTGTCTCTTCGATTATAATTATCTTTAGACTGAAATCAGAAACACATAACTATTATTCATAATTCTTATCGAACTACACCAAACAGGACTGTGTGCTGAGACCCACAGCCGATTTGTTTAATATGGAACTGATCCTCAAATCTCTCATCCTCAATAAGGTATGGCATATATTCGCAGGTCTCTTCTCCATTTCCCAATTGTCCACTTACCCCATCCCCCCACGAATAAGTCTCGCCATCCTCTGTTAATGCGTAGTTATGAAAATCGCCGACAGCTATCGATTTTATCACGGGTAGATCCAAGGGTTTTAGATCCGTAATCGTGCTGCATCCTTTATTCGAAGTTTCGTCACCGCCGAGACCCATTTTGCCATTTTCTTTGCTCCCAAATGTATACACCTGACCGTTCTCTAAGAGCACAACTGAGTGGTGCATCCCGGCAGCCAACTGTTTCACTTTTACATTTTCAAAGAACGGAATTTGCGTCGGTTCTTTGATGTGTATCCCACCATATTTACCGGGGTCCAATAGACATTGTCGCGCGTTATTGAGCCCCCATGCGTATATATGTCCTTCTTCGTCTGCCGCCAATGTATGAAAGTTGCCGCATCCGATTTTCACGATACGCAATTTTTTCAGTTGATTCACGATTTCTGGAACCAAAGTTAATGATTTATGTCTCGGTGAACCGCGACGACCTAGCTGAAATTGTTCTGAAGAACCCCACGTATATACATGACCGTCTGTCGTGAGCAGTGCGGCGTGATTTACACCACAAGCAATGTCTGCAATTTCCAACAGTGAGGCGGGTTCATAGAGTGCAAAGCGATATTGTTGGTGTCGTGGCTTTTCAGAGGAAAATCCGATTATACCATCTTCCGACTGATGCCAAGACAAGAAAGAAAATTCAATGGTTAAATTGATTATTTTTTTAATGAAATTCAAAAGATAGATACAAATTATACCTTGAATGTCCCTGTAGCATATAGATCTCCTTCATCAGACAGTGCGATCGTTAAGGATCCTCCACAGGCAGCTTTCATGATTTTGACACCTTGCAATTCCGCTTCGTCGACCAAACCAGGAGTACGTTCCTCATCATCATCTGTGACACGACCCAATGCCCCATGATCATTACATCCCCAAGTGTACATCTAAATTCAAGAAATTATATATTTTGATTGAACAAAATCAAAACTCATTGAAGAAAATCAAACAAATCAAAAAATAATTACCTTTCCCTGTCGTGTAATAGCGACATTATGCAGTGGACCTACCGCGATATCGACTATTTCTTTACCATCGAAGTAACTTAAACGCCCAAATTTTTTTCTTTCTTGCATTTCGCCCGCACCCAATTGACCGCATTCCCCACTACCCACAACAAACACGTTTCCTACAGTTGAAGGTAAGCTGGGTATAGGGATTTTCTCCACATCACTGGCTAGTTTCACCTTCCTTGCGGTTGGTACGTTTGTTGTTTTTCTTCTTTTTTGTGCGCCGCGAACATTTTTGGGATATGGATCTGCCCTTTTTGTTACTGGTTTTCGCCCTAATGCCATTTTCGTCACAGTAATGTGGCAGTATTTTCTGTTGTTATTTATGAATGTTTCTTTGTAGTTTGACAGTGCTTTATGGTTTTTAAATGATTTATTATAAATAAGGAAGTGAAATTTATTGAATTTGAATAATAAATCAAAACAGGAGGAAAACAATTATAGTTGATGGATCAAAAGTAAAACAAACATGATATCATATTATGTAATTTATTATGCCAGGTTTTGTTGATCTCGGAAAATTTTAGAGGTTGAGGGTTTAACGTTAAGAGGAAAGATTATATGTAAAAATTGCCTCATCGAACATTTTGTCGAAATCGACAAAAATTTACGCATCCTTGTGTTGAGATCGACAAAACTAAAAATCATACTACTCCTATAAAGAGTAAAGAGAATAGTGCACAGACCGTTAAGATAATTTCTTTCTTAACGTCAATATAATTTCTTTCTTAACGTCAACAACTCAATAGATCATAATGTCTTCGGGTAAAAAAATTCGAATAAAACTTCAACGGCCTTCGTATCCACCCGCAGACAAACCTCTAAACACCCTTACAATTCACGAAAAACTAATGAAGGTTGGTCGATACATGCCCTGTTCACCAAAAGTCCCTACTTCGTCGAATGGCCAATGTGACTGTGTTGGTTGGAAGCCAAACCCAGCGGGTAGTAATCGTGCAGACTCGTGCTCTTGTGGCCACCGCTTAAGTTCTCATGGTGGAAATCAAGATGAAGACTTTTCCAGACGCCTTGATATAGCCATGAAAATTGATAAATATCTCGAAGATAAAAATAAGCTATTAGATTTTTCATATGAAGACGAAGAGGTTAAGAGGCTCAGAGGACAAATGACCAATAATGTAAGAATTGTGCAGACCCGAAAAAGGCCTTTAACTGATGAGGAGGAGGAGGAGGATGAGGAGGAGGATGAGGATGAGGAGGATGAGGAGGAGGAGGATGATGATGATAATAATAATAATCATAATAATATAGATGAAGATTGTGATCAAGATACCCGAGATGACGAACAACCAGCACCTAAGAAATTAAAAGAAGAGAGTGAAGAAGAAAACACGGAACTTGTTGAGTACCCTGAAGGTCTTCCTTCAGATCTCGAATTTCGGTGCATCACCAACGATAATACCCGTGAAAACTTGATTTTGCTCACAAATCTAAAAAAGGTGTTTGCCACCCAACTACCAAATATGCCTAAACATTATATCGCTAGATTAACTTATGACACGGCTCATTATAGTGTTGTGCTTATTCGACCAATTGATACTGGTAACAAAATGCCAAAGGTGATCGGGGGAATCACATATCGTCCATTTCCCGAACAGAAATTTGCTGAAATTGTGTTTTGTGCTATCGATGCACAAGAACAAGTTCGAGGTCATGGATCGCGTTTAATGAACTATTTTAAAGACTATATAAGAGCTACCTCGGATATCCAACATTTTATGACTTATGCAGATGACTTGGCTGTTGGCTTCTTTAAAAAGAATGGATTTACCACTGAAATTGACTTGGATCCGGCAGTTTGGGTGGGATATATTAAAGATTATACTGGAGGAACATTAATGCAGGTTAGTTACTATATCAATGCACTGATTAAGAATTAAATTTTTCGATTGTTTTAACGTTATTTTTTTATTGCTAGTGTTCAATGCTTCCAAGAATAAAATATGTTCATGTGAAAAAAATTCTCGAATCTCAGCGCCAAGCCATCAAGAAAAAATTAGAAGAAAGATACATCTCAGCCAAAGTCTATCCTGGTTTACAACAACTCAAAGAAGGCGCGCAAAACATTGATCCAATGGAAGTTCCCGGTATTAAAGAATCAGGATGGACTGCACAAATGGAAGATCAAGCAAAACAAACCAAGCACCTGCCACATTATCCTGTGATGGTTACCGTATTACAAGCACTTCGAAACCACCGGTATGCATGGCCGTTCCAAGAACCGGTTAACGCGGAAATAGTCCCTGACTATTATCACATTATCAAAAATCCAATGGATTTACAAACTCTCAAACAAAACATGGAGAACGATAAGTATCCCACCATTATTGAATTTTCGAACGATGCACAACGCATATTTGATAATGCTCGTCAATATAACTCACCATCGACAGTCTATGTCAAAGCTGCTGATGAGCTTGAAGAATTCTTTTGGAATAAATTGTATGAAGAAGGAGTGCGGTTGGTGTAATAGTCTCTTACTGGGCACGAAAATTAAATCTTTCACTACTCAGACGTTAATTAGAATTCAATATGAAGACGAAAACCGAATATTTGCTTTAGCAACAAGATACAATCAAGGTCGGCTGGCTTCGCACCAAAAACGAATGGCGAAACATATATATCGGATATATGGGATTTGGGCGCAAAAAAATCTTTTTGTATTTTACAAAAAACTAGATTTAAAAAAGATGTAAATATATTGTATATATATTTAATTTAAATTAAATTATTAATAAAATTGTTGAAATATTAGTTTGGGAAAGATTTAGGACGAGTAAATTTCCTTTTTTGGGTTTGGACGGCAACTATAATTATACATGGGCTGCCTAGATAGGTTATTTGTTTCGTTGCATAATGAACATCCATAAGGTTCAGCATGCAAATAAATACATAGAAAAATATTGTCCAAAAAATAACATTATAATAATTTTCAGTTCCTACAATTATTTACTTTTACTATAATTAAATCCCATCATTCCATGAAATCTAATAGACCGTGACCGCGTCGAGAAAAAGTCAGTTCGAAGAATCTATTAATTCTCTAATCTTACATATATATATACAATAGTTATGATTTTTAATAGTACAAGAAAAATTACAGAATGAAATATCAAGATGAATAATATGTAAAAAAAGAAAGTGATCATTACATTTGGATAGAATTTTTGGTATTGGCCTGACTTTCAATTTCACTCTGATGATTTTGAGAATCCTGATCTAATTTCTCATGATATTGATTCTGTGTAACCTGGCCTAATTTTCTAAAACCAAATCTAAACGTTCCTATTTGTCCACAAGGTGATATGATGATGACCGATTCCCATTAGTTCTAATTTGTTGTCTATCGAAATTCACAATATAACAAAAAAAAGAAAAATAAAGGCAGACACACTCTAAAAGTATTAACGTATCTTTTTTACTTTGCCTTTTGAGTGAAGATCGTCTTGGTCCGCCCCCCTGTTGAATCTTCTTTTTAACGCGTTAATCATCTTCACAAACCAGTAGATATTTAACGAGTTCAGTATCACATTTGCGACACTATAAATAACCAACAAAAATGTTGGAACTTGCGATGTCACGGCTTTCACTGATACTATATTATATAAATTTTGCAATTTTATAATAAATTAATATTGAATAATTAATTATCAAAAAATAAAAAATAGGATAATAATACCGAAGGCTTGATAAGACATGTAAAATCCAAACACGATCCTCGCACCGAAAAATGTGAGAATTAATAATAATCCATTGATCAATTGGAATATTGTTCCAGTGAGTCCCAATTTATCCTGAGAAATTACAAATGTCAACTTTTTAATATCCATGAATAAATTTTATTAATTACTTACCATAAACCAATGAATATTTAAAAATGGAGTGGAAAGTTCGAACATTAGAAACACAGCACCATAGTAATTCAAAAATGGACGCTAAATAATAAACAGGAAATGTCAGTTGACAAAGACAAAAACGTGTTATGACAATGATGAACAAATCATTCACCCGATTATGACAATCACTCTCAGGATAAAATGCCACTTACAAATGCAAATATATAAACTCCGAAGCAACACGCGCCATGCAGTACAAATGCATATTCATCTTCACGTGCTTGATAAAGGGACGCGAAAACATCCCAGAAAAAATATCTTTCAAATGTACAAATTTTTATTAAATTATTAAATGACATCAACAATCAAGAGAGTCTGTATATTTTTTTCTCACCCACAAGCAATTGCATACACATTCCCAGCATATGCGTCATATCCAAATACTTTATCTCGCAAGAGGTTCTCGTCAAAAAGTAAATGAATTGAGAGAGCCACAACTAGTATACAATGAAGCATGCTTACAGCATGCATGTCCCACGCAAACCGTTTGTGTCCTTTAAGTGCATTATAAGTTCTTGGAAAGAGAATAGGTGAAATAAACCGCGAAAAAGCAACCGTGAAGTTACATGTTAACGCGGATAATACAAGAACGTGCCAATGATAAGCAAGTTTTGCTAATCCTATACTAGCAAAAAAACCTTCTACATGCTCTTGTGACGACGCCATATCACCAAAAGAAAACAAGTTCTGCGTCTATCGCTATCAATCTTTCGAGAATAATGTCAAAAAGTGTGATCGGAATAAATATATTCCTATCGAAGCGGCGATGCAAATTGTGTTAACGTTAACGTTAGCAAACAGCCTCAAAATAAATTAAACTGGTCACATGATTTTGGTTGAATATTTAATGATTTTATTGCTATTTGTTTATTTGTTTGATACGTTTAAAAAATCTACAGTAAGAAATCAAATTCGTCTCGAAACAAACAAAGGTGAAGTATCAATGCTGCGCGCGTAATTATAATCTGCTCGGTTCCTGATCACATGCAATAAGGATGCGCAAATTTTTGAACAGCCCGGCAAAACAAACCCCGACACAAAAAAATGGAAAATGTGAAAAATACGGGAAACAGCTGTCTAAATCTAATAAAAAATGTCGGGGAGGCAATTTTACATATAATCACATTCTCCACTCTAACCCTTACCCTAACCCAAACGATAAAATCAACCTTTAATAGTTGCCGACACACATATGATTTGCGCATTCTTATTGGAACAACCCTAGCGTCACCCGGAAAAAGTGGATACCCTAGCCATGGCGAAAAAAATTGTCCGTTCATGTGATTTTAAGGGGTAAACCAATCAAATGGCAAGATATGAAAATATTAATAACGTTTCGGTTACAGAAATATATAGTATAATTTCGCAAGAAACATTTTTTGTTAAAACACAAATAATAGTTTTATAGGCAAATTTTCGAGATACAAGCTATTTTTCAAAAATAAGCATTTGTTTTAATTTTTTTGTTGATTACGCAAATTTTTAATCCATAAAATCAATTCAACTTCTAATTTAGAATATTTTGGACATGCTTCGACGCATATGTGATTATGCTGTTATTAATTTATTATAATTATTATATGGTCCGGTGCAAAAATGTTGATACACGAAAAATGAAAGTTAATAATTACTTCTAATAAAAGTCATACAATATATAATTAATATTTATAATTTTTTTATATTAAGTAAAGTATATCTTAATA